AAAAAAAAAAAAAAAAATTTTTATTTAAAAAAAAAAAAAAAAACCTTAAAAAAACCCTAAAAAAAAAAAAAAATAAATTATTTTTTTAACCCTCCACCCCGGTTAAAATATAAAAAATTATTTATTTTATTTTTCTTTGTTTAAAAAAAAAATTGGGTTTTTCCCCCGGGGAACCAAAATAATCCCCCATGAACCACCCCGGGAAAAAAAAAACTTCCAATTTTTTTTTTTTGTTGTCCGAAAAATTAAAAAATTGTTAAATTTTGTTTTTCAAAAAAAAATTTAATTTTAAAAGGGGCTAAAAATTTTCCCCATAAAAACCAAGCCAAGTTTTGGGAAAAAAAAAAAAAAAAAAAAAAAAAAAAAAATAATATTTTCTAATTCTTTTTTATTAATTTGGTTATTAATACAAAGTTTTTTAATTATTATTATTATTATTATTATTTTTATTTTTATTATTATTATTATTATTTTTAATATTATTATTAATACTATTTATTATTTTAATTGGGCTATTAGCTATTTAAAATTTCAAAAACTGAACTTATAAATCTATTTGCTATTGTCCTATCACCCATGAAATAGAGTGTTGGTTCAAAAATTTCACTTTCACTTAAATGTAGATTTCCGTTTATTCTTAACTATATAAAGGCATCAAACAGAAAAAGATTTATCAAGTTAGTATCAACAAATAAAAATAAATAAATAAATAAATAAATAAAATTTTAAATAAAATTAAATAAATTAAAATAAAAATACATACCATGTCAATTCTTGCATACAATATTTTACCATTTTTTTCAATTATTTTGTCAATTATATTTTGGGCTACTTCAATTTCACTTTGACTTGGGTTTAAATTTTTTTCTACTGTTCCACCATAACACTCTTGTACTCTGAAATCACTGATAATTGGTTTCTTAATAATAGAATGAGAGAATTTTCCATTGAAGAAAACAAATGAAGTTTCCCCTTCATCTCTAATGCTCGAAATGAAGGGCTGAACTATAATATCCGATCTTGAGAGTAATGAACAAAGTATTTCGTTGTTAATTTCCTGTTGTTCGCTATTTATTAAAATATCATTAAGATTGAATCTATTTGCACCCAAACCATTTGCACCAATTGTAGGCTTGTAAACAAAATTATTTTGATCCATTCTAAATAAACCTGAATACTTTGCATCTCTGATTGCTTTAGTAATAGCTCGAATTGGAGATGTTTCATTTTTTCTAATAAAAACACTTGGTACAACATTTATTTTATTCTCTAATGATAGTTCGTTTAAATAATTTTTATCAATGTTCCATTTAATTGCTTTTAAATCATTTAAAACTTTAATATTATTATTTTGTATAATTTCTATCCATTTTAAAAATTTTTCAATTTTATCCACATAATCCTATAAATTATGAAATGATAATTAGTAAATATTTTATTCTTTTTATTATTAAAAATATCACTTACCCATAATGATCTAATTATCAATATATCAAAATTCTCTCTTTTCCATTCATTTTTCATATTTTCATCATCCCAAACAACACATTTGTATTCGATATTGTGTAACTTACATAGTTGAAATAATATTCTATCATCTTCGGATAAAAGGGGATGTTCTTCAGAACTAACAAATCCTATTTTAATGTTTTTATTAGGGATCATAGTTATTTATTTTTATTATTATTATTATTGTACTTTGTGTTTTGTTTTATTTTAAATATATAAAATTTAAGTTTAAAAAAGTTATAATACAGTTATTATCCTATTATTTTTTAAATGTTATATGTTTATTGATTGTATTATATATTACTGGTGTGCAATCCACTATTCCATCAGATATCTATATAAATATATATTTATTAACTATATATTACTATACAATATGATAATAAAAATGTGAACAGAGTTGTTCAGTGGTGATTATTTTTTTTTTAAAAAAAAAAAACACAGTTAATTATAAATATAAATAAATATATAAAAATATAATTATTTGTAAATTTATAAAATGCTTATTTAATACACAATATTGTACAATGTTGAATTAAAAATAAAATAATTAATTAAATATAAAATAAATGATCCAAAAAAATAAATGATCCAAAAAAAAAAAAAAAATAAAAAAAAAATGAAAAATAATAAAAATATAAAAATAAAAAAAAAAAATAATATAATTAATAATTAACAATAAAATTAATATTTGAAAAAATGAATAAATTAATATAAAAAAACTAATAATAAAGATAATTTAAAATTAAGTTTATACATACAAAAAAAACAAATTAAATTGATGGGTTTTTTTATTTTTTATTTTTTTTTGTTTATCATTAACACTATTATATTTTGATTGATTGATTTTTATTTTTATTTTTATTTATAATATTATTATTTATATATTCATTATTTTTTTATTTTATTTAAAATAAATAAATAAATAAATATAAATAAATAAATAAATAAAAAAATAAACACACTCAAATCAGTGTGTTGGTTTTTACTAATCCTTTTATTTTCCCCCCACAAAAATATATTTAATTATATATTTTTTTAAACTATAGCTTATTATTGTTATACAATATTGGGGTTATGATTAAACTATTAACATAAAAATTATATTTATATCATTGTGATAATAAATTTTATTAATATATTTATTTCCTATTATTTTATGTGTTTTTATTTATTTGTTTTTATTAAATAAATGAATTTGGGTAGGGTATAATAATATGAACAATAGTCATTCAATAACAAAATTTGATGTATTGGTGTTTTTGATCAATATACACCACACTCACTCAATTAAAGTTTTTATTATTTTATTTTTTCTTTTTTTTTTTATACAAAACCCACTTTCACACAACCCACATCTCTTTTTACCACTTTTTTTTAATATGGATAAATAAATTTATTTTGGATACATCACTTTTATATTATTCTTCATTGAGAAGAATCATATAATTATATATATTACTAAATAATACCAAAAAAAAAAAAAAAAAAAAAAAAAAAAAAAGCCCAATCATATAGATTACTTAACTGTTTCTTAATATATTTTTATTTATAAAATATATATATAAATATACAGTTAAAAAGTATAGGATAGTATAAGAAATATGAAATATTTTAAATTTTTTAAAATTGAAAAGACATTCAATATTATTTTAAAAAATAAAAATATTTTATTTTATTTATATTCCTTTATTTTCAAATTTATTATAATAAAAATAATAATAAATAAAACCTAAATATGATTAACATGCCAAATTAAATTTATTTTATAGTATATCCAATATAGACTAATACATTTATCTAAATTATCTTTATTAATTTTAAATCTTCATTATTTATACCCTTTGAAAATAATAATATTATTAATAAATATGGTTTTAGTTTTTAATGATTTTTTTTATTGTATTTTTTTTATTGTTATTAAAATTATTATTTTTTAAAAATTCATTTATTTATTCTGCTACTATATACAATTGTTGTTGTTGTTTTAATAATGACTTTGATCTATGTTTTTTTTTTTTGGGTTTTTTTTTTTTTTAGTTTGTTTTTGGTTTTTATCTGTCCAATAATTAATATTACTATTATTATTGCTATAATTATTGTTATTATTATTATTTTGTGTATTATATTATATGATCATGGTATTAATATAATCATATTTTTGAAAAAAAAAATGTAAAAACTGTATTTTAATGAGTCATTTGTGATGGGAGAGGTAAACCTAATTTAGTAGCTATAAATGATAAAATAAAAAGAAATAAAAAAATTAATATCTTTTATTATAATTGACAATTATAGTTTATTTTTTTTTTTTTTTTTGTGTATTATTATTAATATACTTACGCTCCAATGAGTGAGGATGGGCATTTTTTTGAATCCATGGATGATTAATAACATCTTTTAAGGATATTCTTTGATGTGGATCTGAAATTAATAACTATTGGTTTTAAAATAAATTAATTAATATTTTAATAATAATAATAATAAAAATAATAAAAATAATTGTGGTAATACTTTTGAAATTAAATCTTTTGCGTCTGTTGATATTGCTGATGGGTAATGTACTTCATTTTCTTTAATATTATTAAAAATTCTTTGCTCTTCGTCTGATGCAAATGGTGAGTGGCCAACTAAAAATTCGTAAATTAAAATACCCAAACTCCATACATCTGCAGTTTGATCGTAACCTTTATTTTCAACAACTTCTGGTGGTAAATATTCAAGTGTTCCACAGAATGTATTTCTTTTAGTATTTGGGGCATGAACACTCCATCCAAAATCTGCTATTTTTATTTCACCCTAAAATAATAATATTATACAATTGTTAGAACCCAATTTTTTAAAAACATAAAAAACATAAAAAATAATCATCAATAAATATTTACATTTATGCCAATTAATAAATTTTCTGGTTTAATATCTCTATGTATAACATGCTTAGAATGGCAATATCTAAGAGCATCTGCAATTTGTAATGTATACTATAGTTTTAAAGAAAAATAAAAAATAAAAATTAGTATAAAAAAAAATAAAATAAAAATAAACTATTTTATTATATGTAATTAAAAAACTTACTGTAGCAGCGGTCATTTCATTAAATGAACCAACTTTTTGTAATTCTTTGAAACATTCGCCACCTTTAGCAAATTCGATAATTAAGAAAACCCTTTTTTCATCATAAAAATAACCAAATAGTCTTAAAATATTTGGATGTCTAAATAAAATAAATTAAAATTAATAAAAAATTAATAGTTGTTTTAAAAAAAAAAAAAAAAAAAAAAAAAAAAAAGAAAATACTACCTTAAATGGGATTGAATTTCAATTTCTCTTCTTAATTGATGCTCTATATTATGGGTTTGTAATTGATATTTAAATAAAACTTTTAAAGCCACAATAAATTGACTCTTTTTTTCTCTTGCTAAATATACATGACCGAATCTGCCCATACCTAATAATTTACCAATATCAAAATCATCGATGCACCATTTCTTTTTTGGACCCGAGTTTGAAGAGGATGTTGATGTTGATGTTGGAGTTGATGTTGATGGAGTTGATGTTGATGGAGTTGAACTGGCAGAGGTAGTTTTTGTTATGGTTGATTTTGTTGTTGCAGTAGTATTTGTTACATTATTGTTTTGTTGTAGTACTCTTTGTGGTTGCTTGTTTTGATTTGAAAATGATGTGTTATTTGAAACATTTTCTTTATTTGTAAAACTACTCATTTTATAAATTTATTATCAATTTTTTTTTTTTAGAAAAAAAAAGAATTATAATTATAATATAGTTTTAAAATAAAAAATTATAATTTTTATTAAATTAATAATAAAAAAAATAAAAATAAAGATATATATACAAAAATATAAAAGAAATAAATAAAATATAAATGATATAAAGAAAAAAAAAAAAAAAAAAAAAAAAAAGTGGAATAAAAAAATTTTGAAAAATTAAAAAATTAAAAAAAAACATACTTTTTTGAATTTAAATTTTTAATATTAACGGTGGTAGTAGTGGCGCGAGCTTTTAAATTTTTATAACACCACCCAAAATTTAATAATAAATGAACATTCACATAAAAAAAAAGGAAATAAAAAATTTTAAAATGAATGTTTAAAATTTTTTTTTTAATTATAAATAGCTAAAAAGAAAATAATTTATTTTTCTTTTTTATTTTATTTTATTTATTCTTTAAACTTTAGCTCCATACTGTCGAGATATTGTTTTCTTGAAGCTTCCAACATTGATTTCTTCCTTTGTTGTAAACTTGTCAATCTTTCTTGTGATGTTGCTTTAAATGTATCAGAAAACTTTTCTAAAGGTTTAATTGATATTTTATTATCTGTGCTATTTATATCTATATTTTTATTATTAATAGTATTATCACTATTACTATTAATATTGTTATCATTATTAATATTATTATTGTTATCACTATTACTATTATTATTATTATTATTATTATTATTATTATTATTTACATTATCATTCTTTGAATGATTATTTTTATTATTATTATTATTTAAATTATTAACAAAAAGTGAATTAGAAACCCTTTCGCTTTCACCTTCACTATTTAAATTTTCGATTTTGCTAGTGTTTATATCTCCACCACTACTTGTTGAACTAATACTACTGCTATTACTATCACTACTTTCTTCACTATTATTTTTTGGGCTTAATGAAGATGATGAAGATGAAAAAGTATCTGAAGAGGAGGAAGAAGATTTTGAATTATTTGTTGTTTTTGATGTTTTTTCTACCAATCTACCTTCTAAAATATTATCAATCGTTCTATTTACACTATTTGTTTGTAATAAATCACTTTGAATAGTTTGAATAGGAATATTTTCAAATAAAGCATGAATAGAATTTGCATTGTGGATTAAATTATTTAATTGCGAGGTTGTTAATGATGATCTAGATAATGATCCACCACTACCACTAATATATCCTCCCTCTGTAATAGAATTTGTTTGTGTAATGTTATTTATAGAATTTGTTGCTGTTGCTGTTGTTGTTGTTGTTGTTGCTGTTGCTGTTGGCATTGGTGATATTATTGTTGCACCTGTGGAATATAGTGTATTAATATCCTGTCTATTATTATTATTATTATTATTATTGTTGTTGATATCTGTATTTGCTACTAAATGTTGATTATGCTCATCAATTAAACTTCTTCTGCAAGTTGGACATGAGTGATGCTGTTCTAACCATGCTCTTAAACATGAACTAAAAAATAAAACAATATATTAATAAACTGTACTACTATTATTAAAAATATGTATTATTAACTTACTGATGGAAAATATGACCACATGGTAATTTTTTAGCTGTTACCATTTTATCTCTACAAATTGCACAATCATCATTATAGTTTTCTAAATCTTTTTCAGATACATTTGGATAGCAATTATCCATATCAGATGTTAATTTACAATAATTTCTATAGGCTGTAATCTTTCTATTTAAATTGCCAAATACCATTTTGAAATAAAAAAACATTACTACATGGAGTAATGTAGGGGTGAATCCTTGAATAATAATAATATGAATTAAGTGTGCTAATATAGAAATGGTTTATTAACATTAATATTGACAAATAACTACAACTTATAAAAAGTAAAATAATAAAACTACATACCACATGTACCTGCTAAAATTACAGAGTCTGTTGAGAATTCTGTATAATAGATATATTGACCTCTTTTATCCCAAACACTCTCTGAAGACATATCAAATAAATGAATTGAATATTTTATTAAAGTTTGAATAGTTTCAAAGAAAATTGTAAAACACTAAATAATATATAAAAAATAAATGTTTGTAAGTAAAAAACCAAACCTAATAAATATGATAATGAAAATGAAATTACTTCAAAATTTAACAACATTAAATTTGATAAACCCTCTTTAAAAAAATAGGAAATTGAAAAATAAAACCAAACTAAATCACTAATTAAAATTCCAACCAATAACATCAACAACTTTAAATGAATTTTTGCATGGGTATTTGGTAAAAAGGTATTTAACTAGATAAAAAAAATAAAAAAAAAATAAAAACCATTAGTCAAACATCCAATGTTTTCTTTATTAAACCATCATTCCAACACCTACATAATCGAATCTATCTCTTGATAATAATGAAAATAATTTTAAGCAACATAAAATTGAAAACCAAAATCCCCAAATCAGTAATGAATTTAACTCTGGCTCCTTTGCTGCAAATATAAAAATTAACTTTGAAACTACATATGTCCACAATCTGTCATTAAAATTCTATAATTACAGTTAGTTATCCAATATATATATTTTACTTTTAATATTATTTCTATATTATATTTACTCTAGCCTCTATGTCTCGAAGTTGACCAAAAAACAAATACTGTATAAATTTACCAACTATTATAAGCAAAGTGAATATTGTATTTATTACCACTGCCAAATTAACAGGATTTCCCACCAATTGCTGGCGAATACTTGGGTCCTCCCCAACCCTATGTAAATTTATGTTATTAGGGTGAGGGTTCATTATTATATTTCCGATACATGCTGAAAAAATTAATACACTTAGTGAAACATAAATTGGAACTGGTATATAAATATTCATTTATATCTATCTATATATATGTACGTGTATAATCTCTTTACTATCCTACTATCTTATTATTATTATTATTATTACTTTTGATATGGTTATTTATATTTATGTGTGATGATGATAATGATATTATACTATATGTATTATATGATCTAACTTTGTATGTGATTAATACTATTATATAATATAATATAATATAATAAGGGGGTGGTTATTTCTCTTGTCTTTAAAATTGAAATTTAAAAAAAAAAAATAAAAAAAATAAATATAAAAAAATTTGTATATAAAAAGAAATAATATTTTAATTTAAAATAAATTTAATTTTAAAAAAAAATTAAAAAAAAAAATTAAAAAAACTTATTTTTTTTTTTTTTTTTTTAAATTTATATTCAAATATTTTTTTTTTTTTATTTTTAATGAAAATATTGTATATGTAATTTGACTCAGAAAGGTGACCAATTGATCATAAAATGCATTATTGTCAAAATAATTTTTTCAAATAATAATCAAACAAAATGTTTTTTGCTAAAATAAAAAATTTCAATTTTTTTTTTTTTTAAAAATTTCTGATTAAAATTTAAAGGTTATAATTAATGGTAATTATATTTATATTTATATTTATATTTAAATATTTGTTTAATTTCGAAATTTTAATCATAAAAACTTTTAATTTAAAAAAAAAAAAATTTTAGAAAAAAAATTAATTATTTTTAGAAAAAAAAAAAAAAATGAAATAATATCTTGATGATATTTAAAATGCAAATCCAAATGGTTTTTCAAGAAGTTCATTTTCTCAATATCAGTCATATTTTCAACAAATTAAAAGAGATCTCTTTCATTCAAAAACTGAACACAATAATCAAATAAAATAGTATAAACCGAATCAATTACTATTCATGGTTTTCAAATAAAAGAAAATATAAATTTTAAGACCACCGACCACCAAACACCAAAACTAATTGCTAAAGAATTTAGCAACATGTTTATATCATATCAAAAATTATCACAAAATAACAATAAAATAAATAAAATAAAGATTATTTTCAAATTATAATATTAAATAATTAAATTTTATTTTTATTTTTATTTATTTTTAGTTTTATCATCACATATATTTTATTTTTATGATTTCAAAAAAAAATAAAAATAAAAAAAAATCAATTTACAATGAAAAATTAAATAGAATATTAATATCTTTAAAATATGATGATTGATTTATATGTAAATTTGGATGGTTTTTCAAGAAGTTCATTCAATATCACCATCATATTTTTAATGGCAATGATGGGTGATGGTGATGATTGAGTGATTTTTTAAATGCTTAAAAAAAATAACAAAGGTAAATTTTTTTGAAAATATATTTTTTCAAATTTTTTTTTTTTTTTTGATTTAAATTTTATTTTTTTTTAATTTTTTTTTTTTTTTTGGCTCTATTTTTTTATTTTATTTTTTTTTTCGTTTTGTCTATTTAAAAAAAAACTTTACAATAGTTTATTTAACAATTATTTATTATTTTATATTTAAATAAAAACACTTTGTATTTTTAATTTTTTTATAAATCAAATAATTACTAAATAAAAAGATTATCAAAAAATGATTGGAACTATTGCTATTGTTGTAATTGCTTTATTAGTAATTTTTGTTTTTAAAAAAGTAAATATAATTTAAACTTACACACACACACACATGATGGACCCTCAAATACACACACCCCACATTTTTAAAAAAATCATAAATTTTAAAAAAAATATATTAATAATTTTTTTATTTAATTTTAAATAAATATTTTATTTTTAGCAACCATCAAATATTCCACCAATTGTTGAAACTATTCCATTCATCGGATGTTTTATTCAATTTGCAAAGAATCCATTAAAATTAGTTAGAGATAGTTATGACAGATTAGGTGATATTTTTACCCTTCATTTGATGGGATTCAAAATGACATTCCTTGTTGGTCCAGAAGCTCAAGCTGTATTTTTCCGTGGTACTGATGAAGAATTATCACCAAAAGAAGCCTATAGATTTGTTATTCCAGTCTTTGGTAAAGGTGTTGTCTACGATAGTGAAACCGAAATCATGTATGAACAATTACGTTTCGTCAAGAACGGTTTAGTACTTTCACAATTAAAAAAAGCTGTTGGTATCATTGCCGAAGAAACTGAAAAATACTTTGAAATGAAATGGGGAGACAGTGGTGAAATCGATTTACTCTATGAAATGAATAAACTCACTATTCTCACTGCTAGTCGTTGTTTAATGGGTAAAAGTATCAACAAATCTCTTGGTCAATCAGGTGAACTCGCTGATTTATATCACGAATTGGAAGAAGGTCTCAATCCAATTTCATTCTTTTTCCCAAATCTTCCATTACCATCATTCAAAAAGAGAGATGCTGCCCGTGCTAAAGTCGCTGCTATTTTCCACTCAATCATTCAAGAAAGAAGAAAATCAACTGATGACTCTGTAGATGATGTCCTTTACACTCTTATGAACAGTAAATACAAAGATGGTACAATCCTTGAAGATGAACAAATCGTTGGTTTAATGATTGGTTTACTTTTCGCTGGTCAACACACTTCATCCATCACTCTTACCTATTCAATTTTCTACATGTTAAATAACCTCGAATACTATGATGAAGTCATGAAAGACATCAAAGATATCGTTCAAGATGAAAATCAAGGTGAAATCAATTTCGATGCCCTCAAGAGAATGAATCGTCTCGAAACTGTTATCCGTGAAGTTTTACGTTTACACCCACCATTAATTTTCTTAATGAGAAAAGTTATGGAACCAATGGAATACAAAGGTAAAACCATCCAAAAGGTCACATCCTTGCTGTTTCTCCACAAGTCGGTATGCGTTTAGACACTGTTTATAAAGATGCCAGTTCATTCAACCCAAGACGTTTCGATGTTGAAGATAAAACTCCATTCTCTTTCATCGCTTTTGGTGGTGGTAAACATGGTTGTCCAGGTGAAAATTTCGGTATCCTCCAAATTAAAACTATTTGGACTATTCTTTCACAAAAATATAATTTAGAATTAGGTCCAGTCCCACCAACCGATTTCACTTCATTAGTTGCTGGTCCAAAAGGTCCATGTATGGTTAAATATTCAAGAAAACAAAAAAAATAAATTAAGAAAAAACAATAAATTTTTTCTATTTATAAATTTTAAAAAAAAAAATCTTATTCATAACTTAAATCATTTATATCAAATTCTAATATATTTAATTTTACTTGTAATTATTTGAATTCTTTAAAAAAATTTTTATTTTTTATTTTATATTTTATATTTTTTTTTTAAAAAAAAAATATTTATTTTTAGACAGACCATCAAAATTTTTTTTTTTTTTAATTTTAAAAACTTATCAACACATTTAAATACAAATTAATATTATATATCTTATAATAAATGAAATATATTATTTTAGTCAGAGCATTACCACCAAGAACTCCAATGAAGGAGTTGGTTGATTTTTTAAATAAAGTAAAAAATTTCTCACACACAAAAACATTTTTTAATACTGGTAATATAATTTTAGATGCAAATGATAAAATGGATAAAAAGGCAATAGATAAAGAGGTTTGTAATATTTTAACTGATAATTTTAATATGAATAAACCTTTATTGGCAATATTTAATCTTGATGAATATAAGGACATTCTTTCAAGTAATCCATTTGACGAGCCAGAGAAATCAGTCATCTTTTTCCCAATCAAGACAAGATTAGAGCAAGATGATTTCGATAAAGAAATAGAATCCAAATGTAAAGTGGTCGATGGGACTATATACTACTTGGGCCCAACCAGCAGCAAAATTTCTTCAGAGGTCAAGGTATTTAGAATTATAGATCGTAAAACTAAAACTGGCTCCAATAATGAATATACTTTTAGAACTTGGAATTCATCGCAAAAGATTTTGGCATTGGCAAATAAAGAGTAGAATTGAATTTCAAAAAATCCATATTAAAATCAATCAAAATTATTTATTTATTTATCCATATTTATAATTAATCCTTTTTATCTTTTATTTTATTAATAAAATTTTAAAAAAGGGAATTTCACCCAAAAAAAATAAAAATAAAATTTTTTTTTAAATTTTTTCAAAATTTTTTTTTTTTTCGTTGATTGTTTTTTTTTTTAATATATTAAATAAATTATAATATTTCATTTTACAAAATGGGAAAAGTTAAAAATAATAAAAATCAACATGTTTCTAATGACGATGATGGAGTGGTTAGAAATAAAAGAATTGATGATAGTTATCATACTACATTTTTAGTATTTATACTATTTTTCATTAGTTCAACTCTCTCAGCAAATTATAATAGAATTTTAGATTGCGATGAATATATGAACTATTGGGAGCCAACACATTATTTGATGTACAATAAAGGATTGCAAACTTGGGAATATAGTCCAACTTATTCATTAAGATCTTATGCATATTTATTAATTCATTCGTCAATTGGTAAATTATTAACACCTTTATCAAATGGAAATAAGGTAAATCATTAAAATGTTATATTTATGCAAAAAATTACATATTTCAAAGTTTACTAACGATTAGATTGTTTTTAGATTATATTGTTTTATCTTATTAAAGTTGCAATTGGATTTTTTACATCAGTTTCACAAACTATATTTTATAGAGGTGTAAAGAATATGTTTGGCAAAGAAATTTCATTATATACTATGATTTTTATGTTATTTTCACCAGCATTCTTTTTATCAGGTTCAAGTGGGTATCAATTTTTATTTAGCCGCCATTTTTTAAATAAAATAAACTCATATTAATATTTATATTTAATAAAATAGACTTTTTACCAACTAGTTTTTCAATGATTACATTTATGGCAGCATATGGATTTTGGATGTTATATCAATCATCATCAACACCATTATCTGGATTATCACCAAAGTATTCATCAAAAGAGGCTATATATTCAGTATTTTTAAGCGCAACTAGTGTATTTTTAGGTTGGCCATTTGTAATTGTACTCATTGTACCAATAGCATTAAATTTAATTATTAAAAATGGTTTTTTCAAAGTATTAATATGGGCATTAATTCCAGTTTTATTAGTTTTTGTTCCAATGGTTTTAATTGACTATCAATATTATGGTAAATGGGTAATTGCTATCCTAAACATCATCGCCTACAACTTTACATCAAGCCATAGTGGTGGTTCACAATTATATGGTATTGAACATTGGAGTTTTTATTTTATAAATGCTTTTGTAAATTTTAATATTGTATTTTTATTATCTTTATTTACAATCCCAGTAAGTATTTTCTTTTTAATATCTATTTATTACCTTTACATTTCTAACGATTTTATAGACTATTATTATTTTTAGAAAATGGAGCGGTAGTTTAAAAAATTTAACTTTACTTTCAATTATCTATACAATTTGTCCATATTATATTTGGTTTGGTTTTATGAGTTACCTACCACACAAAGAAGAAAGATTTTTATTTGTTATCTATCCATTTATTTGTTTAGCAGGTTCAATTACATTCTATACAGTTTTAAATGTCTTAAATTTAATGATTTCATATTTAAAGAATGATGGTGCTCATAAGAAGAACGACGATATCAAACAAGTTGAACAACAACACTACAACATCAATATTTACTATGGATTGATAAATTTAATTAAATATTTATTCATATTTGTTTTCATCACCTTATCAGTTTCAAGAATCTATTCAACCTATGTAAATTATACTGCACCATTCAACGCTTTTACTTTTTTAAATAACGAAATTTTAATGAATGGTGATGTTTCAAATCCAAAATTCCCAAGACATCTTTTAAAAAATGGTGATAATGGTAAGTCTTTTATTTAGTTTTGTAAATTTTAATAATATCTATTATAATCAATATTAATTTTTATTTATTTTTTACAATAGAAATTAAAGTTTGTGTTGGTAAAGAATGGCACAGATACCCATCAAATTTCTTTTTACCAAATGATAAGGGAAATGTTACATTTACCTTAAAATTCATCGAATCAGATTTCAAAGGTCATTTACCAAAACCATTTTCAACTTTATCAAATGGTACTGCAATAGTACCAACTAATATGAATGATCAAAACAAACAAGAGTTTGATAGATATGTAATGTATACAATTTTTATGTTTATTTGACCATTTTTTATATTAACTGTTTATTTTTTACAATAGATTAAACCATCAGAATGTAGTTTTATTGTTGATTTTGATACTCCAAATCAAAATGAGGAGCATTATGTTGATGATATTGAAAATTGGAAAGCTGTCTATTCAACCCCATTTTTAGATGCAGGTTCATCCAAGAGTTCATTATATAGGGCATTCTGGGTACCAAAGAAATCAGCCGAAAATAACAAATATTACGATTATTATATTTTAGAAAAAAGAGATACAACTTTACTTTAGATATTATAATAATAATTAAAATATTTATAACAATATAATTTTAATAATAGTAATTATAATAATTATAATAATTAATAATTATAATAATTATAACAACATAATAATAATAACAATATAATAATAACACAATATACAAATAAAAAAAAGAATAAAGATAATATTCAAAAATAAAAGATTAAAAAAAAAAAAAACTAGATCTAGTTTTCCCACAAAGGGTTAAAATTAAAATTTATTTATTATAACTATTATTAATAATTACAAAGGATTATATTTATTTATATTATTACAATTACTATTACTATTACTATTACTACCAATACTACTATTAAATAATTGTTTTTTTTTTTTTTTTTTATTTGGATAGGTGGAGTTCGAAATTACACTATATTAATATACATCGGGTGTTAAGCTGTTATTTTATCCAATAAATGGTTTTGTTTAAGTATTGTTATTTATTAGTTTATTTATTCATCGAGATCCTCTTCCTCCTCCTCTTCTTCCTCATCATCCATTAAAATATCACCAGCACTATTTGAGTTGTTATTTTCTTCCATTTCTTTTTTAACTGATTCATCATTTGGGTCTAATGTCATAACATACTCCATTTGAATTCTAACTTTATTGTCATATGTTGATGGGATCATTGCTTTATTATAAATTATGATTTATTTATTTATTTATTTATTTATTTATTTATTTATTAAAAAAAAAAAATATTAGTAAATTAAAAAATAAAAAACCGAAAGATAACATTTGTGTGTGTGTGAGTGATGAATTAAAATATGCATACCCCTTTCTTCAGGTGTTAACATTCTATCTACACTAATAACAATTAAGGGTATAACTGGGTTATTTAAAGATCCTTTTTGTATGAATTCATGAAACTCCAATTCCCATTTATAAGGGAATGAAAGTTTTAATGAATCAATAAAAGGTCTAATTTCATCTTCTGTTATCTCTGGTGTAGTTGTGGTTTCATTAGACATTATTATAATTTATCTCTTTATTATTTATTTTTCTAAATTTTCATATAAAAAAAAAAAAATATTTATAAAAAAAATTAAAAAAATATGAAAAAAAAAAAATAAATTATTTTTTTATATTTTTTTTTAATTTTTTTAATATTTAAATAATTAATTATTACATTTATATGTTTTTTTTAATTTTATTATAATAAAATTAAATTGGGTTAAATTTAAATTGAAATTTAATAATATGATAAATTTAGAAATTATTAATATTGGCATTGATATGTAACAAACTAATCTTTTGTTATCATAAAAAAATACATAAAAACAAAAAAATAGATTTTTTATTATTTTTTTTTTTATTTGCAATCCCAATTAGATTTTTTATTTTTTTATTTTATTTTAATTTTTTTTCAATTAAAATTTATTTATTTTTTTTTTTTTTTATTATTTTTTATTTTTTTTTTAATTTTCATCACCCAATTTTTTTTTTTTTTCTTTGTTTGAAATATTAATAAAGTAAAAATAATACACCACAATAAATTAAAATAAATTAAAATAAATTAAAATAATAAATACATAATACAATAGCAATTTCTTTTATTTTATTATTTCACATTTAATTCATTAAACTCCTATATTTCATATAAATACCCTGTAGGGGGATGGGTTGTATCTTTTCTAAACAATCTCCTTCTGGAGAAATTTTAAATAAACAGCAAAATCAAAAGTTAAAACAAGAACAAAATGTTAGAGATTCATCAGAGGATTTAAATTTTTTTACATATTTAAAACATAGATTTAAACAAGCATTTTTAAACAACAGCAATAACGACGATCAACAATTGCTATATTACAACTCCAACCATAGTGAACAGCAATTAAATAGTATAGATAATAGTAGCAACAACAAAAATAATAGCAATGGTTCAAATAAACCCAATTATTTATCGGTATCACCATCTATCGGAAGTAATATTCCATCACCATCTATAATTATTACATCTCCATCTAGTAATCATAGTAATTATAAAAATAATGTAAAAAGTCATCTCTTGTATAATGTAAATAATAGTAATAGCAGTAATAGCAGCCAAGATCAATCAAATTCTGTAACAGCTATGGGAAGTTTTAATAGTTCAAGACCTAGAAGTAAGGAAACACATAGGGCTCACAAAAAAAGACACAGAGACGGACATAAAATGGTAAATGAATATGTTTTTGTTAGAAAGTTGGGTAGAGGTACTTATGGTAAAGTTAAATTAGCCTATCAATATGAAACTCATCAATTATATGTAGGTTTAGGATAAATAATAAAAAAAAAAAATCTATAGATATGTTACTAATTTTTTTTTTTATTAGGCAATTAAAATTTTTAATAAATTCAGATTAAAAAAAAAAACTATGGGATTTGGAAAACCAAATGCATTTGATCAAGTTTTAAAAGAAATAGCAATTATGAAAAAAATGAATCATCCCAATGTTGTTAAACTATATGAAGTAATAAATGATCCAGAAGAAGAAAGTATTTATATTGTAATGGAATATGTTGAAGGTGGAAATTTGCAATCAATTAATGATTTCCCAAACAATCCAATGTCAGAGCATTTGGCAAGAAAGTATTTTAGAGATATAGTTTTAGGTTTAGAATATTGTAAGTTCTTACATTATTATAGTTCAATATATATTAGTATGATTATTAACATTTTTTTTAATAATTTTTAGTACACGAACAAAAAGTTATACATAGGGATATTAAACCAGAAAATTTGTTACTAAATAAGGATGGTGTTGTTAAGATCGGTGATTTTGGGGTTAGTCAAATTTTTGAAGATGACGATATTATAGCAAAATGTACTACAGCAGGAAGTATAGCATTTCATTCACCAGAGCTTTGTAGTGAGGATCATAGTATTCCAATTTCAGGTAAAGCAATTGATATTTGGGCATTAGGTATAACATTATATTATTTACTTTTTGGAAGAGTTCCATTTAATTCATCAAATTCTATTGCAAATATTTATGACCAAATTTTAAATCAAGAGTAAGTAATCCAACATTAATATAATAAGATATTAAATTATAAAATATTAATATTTTAAATTTCATTAGAGTTGTATATACAAGAGAGATTTCAAATGAATTAATGGATTTGTTTAATTGCTTATTGGATAAAAACCCAGCAACTAGAATTAATATCGAAGCAATTAAAATGCATCCATGGACAACTTTAAATGGAACATGGCAAATGAAAGAATCAGATCATTTAATTTTATCAGTAACAGATCAAGAAATGAACGAGGCTATTAGTGCTGATCACACTATTAAAGATGATGACTTGAGTAGCAGTAGCGAAAGTAGTGGAATAGTTGGTTCAAACTCTAGCGATAAAATTTTGTACAGTAATAATCATAATAGCAACAGCATTAATAATAACAATAATAATTTGTTTTATAGTTTAAGAAAAAATAATAGTTTTAATACAACAACTTCTATTACACCCAGTAAAAAAGATAATAGTATTAATATTGTAAACTTTGATCAAGATCATGAAAGTGATATTGACAATGATATTGAAATTAGTGGTAATAGTATTTATAAACCGCTAATAATTAACAACAACAACAACAGCAATAATAACATCGCCAATAAATCCAGTAATAAATCAAGAAATGTAAATATCAACTCAAAAAATAGTATAATAATTGATGGTATTGGGGAAATTGACGATGAAAAAGGTTTTAATGATGGTAATATGGATGAAATAGAAATAGACATAAATTAATTATCTTTATATTTTTGTAAAATAAAATTAAAAATAAAATAAAATAAAATAAAATAAATAAAATATTAGATCTTATTAAATTATCTCTATTTGTTTTAAATAACTGTTTATACATTTATTAAAATTTTATTATTCGTTTTTATAAATTGCAACTACTATGGTATCGTTATTTTCATTTTCTTCATTGTTATTTACAATAGCGTAACCTCTGTACATGCCTTCACTGTTAAAAGGCATAGCAATATTTCCATTGGCATCAACGGTGATAACACCACCATCACCTTTACCTTGCTCGATAAGCTTTTCCATTACAACTTTTTTTGAAGCTTCTTCTAATGTTAGACCGCCATACTCCATTAATGCTGAAATATCATATGCTGCTAGTGTTCTAATAAATGCCTCACCAGTACCTGTACTACTAACTGCTACCATTTTATTTGCATAAACACCTGCTCCAATAATTGGAGTATCACTAAATTTATAAATTAATAAAACTATAGTATTTTTTTTTTACTGCAAAAAAAAACTTACCCAACTCTACCAACCATTTTATTTGTCATACCACCGGTGGATGTAGCTGCAGCTAAATTTCCATACTTATCAATTGCAACAGCACCAACAGTGCCCATTTTACTATCTGGATGAATAGGATCACCCGAAATATTAACAGTAAGTGTTTTTTCTTCTTCTTTGACCAATTTTTCTCCATCGTGATCTAAAATAACCCTATTTGTATCCTTGGCTTTTAATAGTTGATCGTATCTGTTTTGAGTAAAAAAAAAAGATGGCTCGACTATTTCAATTGATTTTGATTGAGCAAACTCTTCGGCACCTTTACCCATTAATAAAATATGATTTGTGTGATCCATTACAGCTCTTGCTGCTACAATTGGATTTCTAATAGTTGAAACACCTGCAACCGCACCACATTTCAAAGTGCTACCGTCCATAATTCCTGCATCCATTTCGTTGGTACCTTTTGATGTGAAAACTGAACCTTTACCTGCATTATATAATTCATCCTCTTCCAATAATCTAACAGCTTCTTGAACTGCATCCAATGCTGTACCACCATTTCTTAGGATTTTTTTACTTGCACTTAAAATTCCATTTAATGATTTTAAAAATTGTTTTTCTCTTTCTTCTGAAATATTGGATTTACTAATAACACCTGCACCACCATGAATAACAATAACTGATCTTTGTTTATTTTCAATATTTTTATTAAAAATTTTATTATTACAATTACTATTATTAATATTATTTATATAATTCATGTTTTATTATTATTTATTTTTATTAATAATAACCAACTTTTATTTAAGATTTTTTTTTTATATATTATTAAAAAAAAAAAAGATTTTTTTTTAGTTTTTTTTTAAATTTATTTAATTTTTTTTTTTTAAAATTTTATTTCTTTTAATTTTTCATAAACAGGAAAAATCAACGCATATATATAATGGTATATTATTAGTTTAAAAAATAAAAATAAAAATAAACTATTTTATTTTGTTACTATATTTGCAACCCATATAAATCGAATATTATAATAAACTTGTGCAAAAATAGATAATAAAATAAAATTTGTTTTTTAAAGAAAAAATATAAATATTAATAATAATAACCATAATTATTATTATTTTTATTATAATAGATACATTTTTTACTATGTTTTAATAGGCAAGGAAAAATTAGACTAAGTAAATTTTATTCAACGTTTACACATGCAGAAAGAAATAAAGTTACAAGAGAAGTTTCAAATTTAGTTTTATCGAGAAGTCCAAAGCATTGCAACTTTATATTGTGGAAAGAATATACTGTGGTTTATCAAAGATATGCTTCATTATTTTTTGTTTTTGTAACCGATAATAAAGATAATGAATTAATTACAATAGAGGCAATTCACAAATTTGGTAAGTTATATAAATATTATACAAAAAAAAAAAGAAATAAAAAAAAAAGAAAACTGTAATATCTAAAATTTTCAATTAATATTAACATTTTTATATAGTTATTTTATTAGATATGGTTTTTGAAAATATTTGTGAATTAGATTTAATATATGAATTTCAAAAAGCTTATATGATACTGGACGAATTTCTATTAGCAGGTGAACAACAGGACTCAAGCAATAAAGAAATTTTAAAAGCAATCAATGAAGCTGACAATTTAGAAAAGTCATTACTAGTTTCGGAAGCTTTAGATGAACACTTTTTATAATAATAATAAATAATAATAAATAATAATAATAATAATAATAATAATAAATTTTATAATAATAATTATTAATAATAATAATAATCGAATTATATTTAAAACGATAATGTACAATTTAAAAACACGTATCAAAATACCATAGTAATAAAGGGGACCCACTATCTTTAGTGTTATCCTATTTTATATAAACCACAATAAAAAAAATTTTAAAGTGTTTGGGGATCAAGATTTTTTTTCCAAATTTATATTTTTGTATACCTCTTACATTATTATAATAATTTAAATTATTTTAGATTCAATCAGTTTAAAGATTTGTGTATTTTATTTTAAATTATTTTAAAATAATAATTGAATTTTAATTATAAAATTTTTTTTTTTTTTTTTTTGAAAACCATAAAATAAATACAATTTACAAATTTTGATATTTATTATAAAGTGATATTACAAAAATTTACTATAATAATTTTTTTTCTTTTTTTTTTTTTTTTTTTTTTTTATTAATTTTTTTTATCATTGTAAACTTTTATATAATATTTTTTTATTTTTTAATTTTAAATTTTGGGGTGGTGTTAATTGTGTGTTTACTGTTTATTTATTTTTTAAATTTATTTTTTTATTATTTTTTAAAAATTTCTTCTTTTTTCTTTTCAAATATTTTTGTATATACTTTTTTTTTTTTAGTAAATAAAAATATAAAATAAATAATAAATTATAATAACAAACTATAAAATAAAGATATCAATTTAATGTAAATTTAATAAAATATAAACTTACTATAAATAAAATATATACAAAATGTTTGAAAATATTTTTGACCCATTCAAATCTTTTCAGCAAATTGCACTTTTTATTATAATACCATTATTAATTGGGGTACATCAAGAAAAGATCAGTGTTCAAGTAGCAGGAGATATAATAGTGTGGTATATAGCAATTAGCTTTGGAATTTATTTATTTAAAACGCCATTGTCGTTATATTTCACAGTTAAAGAAAAAACCCAACTGTTAAAAGAACAAAAGAATTTTTTTGACAAAGAAACCTATAATAAAAAAGACTATGAACTATATCAATTAGAATGGAGGTAAATTAAAACAATACAAAAACTATCTATAAATTAATAAGGCTAATAATAATTTAATATTAAATATATTTATTATCATATAGGTTATTTATTTTTTCATTTTTATCACCTTTTGCAGCATTATTAAGTTGGTATGGATTAGAGAAATTCTGTATGGCTTACTCATTAACAACACTTAGTAATTTATTACACCCATACTTTATTATTATTGCAGGATTTGTAACATCATACCAACCAATAATAAGCTTTATGGATAATTTCAAAGGTAGAATTGACCAAATATACCCAAGATTAAAATATGAACCAACAAATGAATTATATGATAGTGGCTCGTTTAAACAACCCTCTTCTTCACTACAACAATCCTCAGATGATTTAGGCTCCTCATCCTCTTCCTCATCCTCTTCAAACTCTGCAACACCAAGAACACCATTATTTCAATCATCAAATAGTTTACCAAACTTGGCAATAAATCAAGAAGCTCTATTTAAGAATATAGTTTATAGTCATTCAAAGAGTACTGAAGACTCTTTAAGAGGTGAACTGGGTCAATTTAGAATCGAATTTTCAAATTACATTAAAAATTTAAATTCCGACAACAATCAATTAAAAAGAGATATAAGAGATTGGACATCAAAGAAATCAAGTGAATTGGCAAAAGCAGAATCTAGAATACTCAATTTAGAAAATCAAATTGAACTATTACAAATGCTTTTAGAAAAAGAAAAATCAAACCATTCGTCCAAATCTTCAGATATTTTTAAAATATTTTCACATTGGGGTTCTCAAAAAATGATATCTTCAAAATAATATTATTTCAATTTAATACTTAGTCAATTTTTCCAAATTAGTAATTTTTTTCTTAAATAAAATATTTTTTTTATTATTTAATTATATAAAAAAATAATTTGTGTATCTTTTTTCATTTAATTTTTTTTTTTTTAAAATTTTATTTGAATTAAAGCCATGTGGCTTAATTTTTATTTAATTTTTTTTTTATTTTTTAAAATTATTTTTTATAAAAAAATCTTTTTTTTTTTTTTTTTTTTTTTTATTTTATTTTTATTTTTATTTATTTAAACAAAAAAGATATAAACTAAATAATTAATTTTAATTATTTTAAATATATATTACTAAAAAATGGCCAATAAAATGTACAATAATTCTTTTGATGTAAGTATTTAATTTTTCAAAACAAGAAAATAAAATTTCATATTAATGCTAAATATTTTTTATTTTTAAATAAATTTTTTTTAATTAAATAAAGTTTAGAAAAACTAATGCAGGTAATGACGACGACGATGATTGGGAAACAGATGCTGATTTTGTTAATACAGATAATATTGATAATTCAAAAACTACCCAAAAACAACCAACTATTAGAGCAGCAGATACAGGTAAACAATTTATTCAAAACCAAGCACCAACAAATAAAGTTCCAACCTCACCATTAACAAACCGATCAAAGTTAGCAGCACCATCAACCTATACTCCTCCAGGTGTTGTTGTTAGTAAAAAACCTGCTGCCACATCAACTCCAGCCCCTTCAAAACCAGCTGCTCCAACCACAACCTCAGCCCCTTCAAAACCAGCTGCTTCTAAATTCTCGCAACCAACTACATCTGCTCCACCACCATCAAAACCAGCTGCTCCAGTATCATCAATTGCCTCTAAATTCTCACAACCTGCTTCCACTCCAGCACCTGTCAAAGCAACCCCACCACCAGTCGTTAAAGCAACCCCAGCACCAGCTCCTGTTAAAGCCACTCCACCACCACCAGCCAAAAAAGCTCCACCACCAGTTGTTAAAAGAGCTCCAGAACCAGAACCAGAACCAGTTTATGAAGAACCACAACAAACATATGACCAAGGTTATGATCAACAATCATACGACCAACAATCATACGATCAACAAGGTTATGATCAACAATCATACGATCAACAAGGTTACGATCAACAATCATATGACCAACAACAATATGACGACCAACAGCAATATGATGACCAACAACAATATGACCAACAATCATACGATCAACAATCATATGACCAACAAGGTTATGACCAACAAAACTATGACCAACAACAGTATGATGACCAACAACAGCAAACATACCAACAAGCTCAAGCTCTTTATGATTATGCAGCCCAACAAGAAGGTGATTTAACTTTTTATACAGGCGATATTATTTATATTCAAGACTCCACAGATGAAAGTGGATGGTGGTATGGTCAACTTGAAAACGGTACCGCTGGTTCATTCCCTAGCACATTTGTTCAACTCCTTTAAATAAACTAAAAATATCCTAAACTTGTAAATTTAAAAAAAAAAAAAAAAAAATTAAAAATAAAAAAAAATTATTTATTCGAATATTTTTGATTATTTTTATTTCAGTTTTTTTTTTTTTCCCATAAACATGACCCTTCTTTGGTTTAACGAAATGGGATTCATCAATTTTATGAAAAACAGACAATTAGTAGAGTAATTCTTATCTATCATTATCATACGTGATAATAATAAATAAAATTACACTTGAATGATGACAAAAATCTTTATGAACATCCAAAAAATGTTTAAAAAGGTTGTCTAGGGGGTAGCATCTCTAAGTCAACAGTCTGACCTTGTCTCATATTAAATTATTAAAGAAAATAATTTTTTTAAATATTTATTATGCGGTTGGTTCAAAACATACAATTTTTTTATAAAAAAATTGCATGTTTTGAACCAACCGCACAATATAAATATATTAAAAAAAATACCGATAAAATGTAATTTTTTATTTTTTTTTAGATTAATAAAACAAATAAACAAGCAAATAATATTGTTTGATTTCTGAGTTTTATTTTATTTTATTTTTTAAGAATATTTACAATTTTATTTTATTTAAAAATAATTATTTTTACTATTTATTATTTTACTCTTTTTCTTCAAAAGAAACTAATTTATCTAAAATAATTTGCATTGTTGAAAATTCTAATGGTACTAATAAATATTCGGTATCACCAATGATTTTTTTAACAATTATTTTGTGATCTAAAAATTCTCTTAATTGATTTTTTAAACCCAATTCAGACGAGACCAAAAAGCCTTCTTTACAAATTTCGAATAATTCTTTGAATTCTATTTTCTTTATCTTTTTTTTAATCAAATGTTCCAAAAGTTCAGTAAATATGTTGGTAGTATTCGGAGTTAGACTTTGAAGTACTGTTAAAACACCATCTGGATCTAACGAGCTTGAGCCTTTTTGGTTTTGATTTATAAGTGATTTTTGATAGGTTAGTTCTTTTTTATAGGGTAAATAGGTTGTCAATGTATGTTTTACCCAATAAAACTGCTCAAATAAGTTACTGTCCCATAATAATGTTGGTGAGTAAGTTTCAATTGTGGCAATTAGATGAATTTGAGGTATTGACGAAAGTAACGCTAAGGCAGTTTGACTTGTTGTATTTCTTAACGATGGTCCATCAATATTTAAAACTACAATATATAAATTCTCTGGTATGTATGAATATTTCCCACCTAAAAACTTTAATTTATCAATACTATTACTTTCAAAAATGCTCTTTATAAAATTACAATGAGTAATTGGAGACCCAAAACCCTTATCCATTCCAAAAATTGAAAATGTAATTCTAAATAATAGCTATATAAATAAAATTAAATGCAATTATTAATAAATATACTATAATATAATTTGTGATGGATATAACTATACACACATCTCTGATACTTAATGTAGGTAAATAACCTTTAAAAAAAATTGCAGGCCCATCCACACAAAAATTATCAACAAATTTCTTTAAAACCTTTGATTTATCACCAACACCATTGATTAACAAACTATAGTTTAACTTTAAATCATTATACATTTTATTGAATGGATAATTTATAATGCTGTCCTGTGTTTTATAATAACTTTCGATCAATTTGGTTTTTTCTTCTGGGTGAGTATCTGGAAGTGTTGAAAGTACGCTATGTAATGTCTAAATAAAAAACAATAAATTAATCTTACGTTAGTTTTTATCATTATTATTATTATTACTATTATTATTATAAATAATTATGTTATATACTTTTGGGTCTAATGGTTTAATTATATTTTTTGAAGTTTTATTAAATTTATTTGAAACTGTAAAGTAATCATCTTCTTCATCCTCATCATTGGATGACTCTTCTTTCTCTTCTTTCTCTTTTTCTATTTCTTTTTTTTCCTCTCTTTTCATTTTTTAAAAATTTTAAAAAAACTATAAAAAAAAAAAATTTTTAAATTAAAAAAAAAAAAAAAATTAAATATAAAGAGGGAAAACGAAAAATTTAAATTAAAAAAAAATAAATAAATAAATCATAAAAAAAAGTTTTAAGTTTAATAAATAAATAATTTTATTGGTTTTTTTTTTTTTTGTTTAAAAAAAATTTATATTTATATATATATTTATAAAATTTTATATATATATTTTTAGTTTTATTTTTTTTTAAAATTTAATTTAAAAACTATTTAATCAACCTCTTCCTCTACAGTTTCTTTCTTTTCTTTCTTTTCTTTTTCTCTCTTTTCTTTTTTCTCTTTTTTCTTTTCTTCTTTTTCTTTTTTCTTTTCTTCTTTTTCTCCTTTCTTTTTTTCTTTTTTCTCTTTCTTTTCTTTTTCTTTTTTCTCTTTTGAAGTGAGCTCTGGTTCATCACCTTCTTTTCTTTCAACGATTGGATCTGGATTTTCTAATAAATAGTTATCGATATTATAAGTATAATCCAAATCCCCACCTAATGATTTTTCCCAAACATGATGCATCCACCGTATCTAATAATCCGGGAATACTCCTTTACCATCACTTTTTTGATGAGGGATCTACTTTGATATTGACCTCCGTAGATGGGATATTCCCAAGCAAGAAAGGGTGTGGCAATGAAATATGACCCAATCTCTGGGCAATGATCTAATAAAAAGTGCATTGCTTCCTAAAAATTTAAAAAAAATTAAAATATTAATTAATAAATCAAATCTTTTATAATGAATAACTAACCATTGTTATTAATATTAATATAATACTTACTAAATTAGTTTTCATATCCATATTACCACTTGAAAAATCTTTATAATCGACAATAAAACAAAATTGTTCAATACCTTTTGATTCATCCATACGTTTGAAACCTTGTTCCATCCAATAAACTAAATTTTTAAATTTAATATCACTTGGAACATCTTTGAGTGTATCATTTCTTGGTACTGCCCAAATGATTGGTCTTCCTTTTTTATCTCTTTGATTAACATATACACAACCTTCTGCACCAATTTCTCTAATATCACCTCCTAATTGAATATCTTGTGGTCTATATTTCTTTCTCCATTCTAAAGTATCTCTTAACATCTATAAAAAAATAATGTTAATGTTAATCACCTATTTTCTATAATTTTTTTTTTATTGTTATTTTATATTTTTATTTACCTTTTCTGATTTTGCAACTGTATAATTTCTAGCTCTTAAATATCTTAAAAGACACATATCAGTACAAAATTCGATATCTGTTGGATCTGTTAAATCAGAGAAAAGATTCTTCATTTCTTTGAAAGCTTCCAATTGTTTTTCATTTAAATTCTTTAATGGATCGAAAACTTCACCTTCTGTTAATACTGGTGGTGAAAATGTTGGTTCGGCTGTAGTTGTTGATCCTGCAGTATTGCTTGTAGTAGTTACATCTGTTTCAACTTCCATTTTATTATTGTATATATATTTTATTATTGATATAAATTATTGTATATTTATTATTATTATTAATGATTTTAAAATATTTTATTTTTAAAAATAAAATTTAACGATATGTGGATATATATATATATATATATATTTATATTATATTTAAAAAATAAAACTAATTAAATTTTTTATTTTTTTCTAATTTATTATTGCTATTATTGCTATGAAAAAAAAAATAAATAATGTTTTTTTATTATTTTTTTTTTTTTTTCCTTAAAGATTTAAATTTAAATAATAATTTATACTATTATATTATTATAAAATTATATTTATTTTATTTACACACAATGAAAATTTAAATAAAATTAAAATTAATTGGTTTGTTTAAACACAAAAATAAAGTGTAATGGAAACGATAGAAAGAGAAAAAGTATTAAATAAATAAATGAATTATTAATTTAGCACACACCCTATATAAAAATTAAATAAAATAAAAAAATAAAAAAAAAATAATAGAACAATAAAAATTAAATAAAAAAAATAATAAAATTAAAAAAAAAAATCGAATTTTTTTTTATTTTTTTTTTTAAAGTAATTCATGTGTATATTGTTACACCATATTCTCAAAAAGCTTCCATTTAAATTTATATCGATAGGGCAATTAGTTCCTGAGCCATTCGCCATCATGTCACAACATAATTAAAAAATTAAAATAATTTAATTTTGAAACTAAAAAAAAAAAAAAAAAAATTATTAAAAAAATAATAAAATAATTTAAAAAAACTTTTAACCGAAAGAATCTCAAATTTTAAAATATAGATATCGCATTGGTGGCAAAAACAACAAATTTTTAGTTTTCAATTTTGGAAAATAAAAAAAAGATATATATAATTTTTGTATGATAGTGGTATTTTTAAAAATTATGATGATATCCATACATAATTGGGTGGTGATGGTGTTGTTGGTCAAAAAAGTCTTTTTTTTTTTTTTTTTTTCGAGTTTTTTTTTAAATAGAATATATTTGTGGTTTCTTCAGGTCTGGTGTTGTGGGAAATTTTTATTTTATTTTTTCATTTTTATTTTTAAATTTAATCTATTTTATTTTACACAATTCCTCTAGAATCAAAAGTTTTTCAATTAAAATAAAAATGGTGGGTTGAATTGAAAAATAAGAAAAGAATTTTTTAGTCTGGAATTGCTTTTTTATTACAATTTTATTACTATTTTTTTTTTATTTTAATATATAATATATATGAAAAAAATTAAAAATAAAAAAAGGTATTATTACGTATTTTTTTTTTATTGTTTTATTTTATTATTATTTTATAAAAAATAGGTTTATTTGTGAGGTGGTTTAAATAATAATTGAATCTTTGAGTTTATATTTGAATAATGTGCAAACTGTTATCTATTTAATAGTTGCTATCATATTGTTTTGGTCTTGGTGATCTGCAAATACGAACGATTAAGAAGAGAGCAAATAATACAGCAACTAATTCGATAATACCAATGGCGACACCAGTAGCACCAACCATGTAAAGTTTTGATGAAAGTTGGTCACCTAATTTGTTTTCACAATATGGATAATTTGAATCAACTGTCATATTTACGTATTTTGGTGGACAGAAAACGTTTTTATCAGTTGTATCGGTGGCATTCCAATTGCAACATTCTAAGAATTTTTCGAGACCATTGATAACTTTAATTGATTTTTCATCATTCTTGTTGGAAATAATTATCCAATTATCACCAACAGTTGGTAAAACATCATCGTTGTGTAAGGTGAGAGCTTTACCACTGATACCAATTAAAATGACTAAAAGAACAAGCATAAGAACACAGTAGATAACAAGACCAACGAGTTTTTCTTTATAGGCAACATAACAACCAGCAAGGGTTAAAAGGAAGAAGAAAATACCAATAACAATAACACCAGCTGGAACTGAGGTGGTTAAATTGCTTAAAGCTGATTTGGCGTTTGAAGCATTTGTGAAATCTTTAAAGTTTGATAAAAATGATGTAGCAACACCACCAATAATAATTAAAACTAAACCAAGAATCTATGTAAAAATAAAAATAAAGAAATAGTTTATTAATATTTTATATTTGTTTAGTTTATATTTTTTTTTTTTTTTTAATTTTTTTTTTCGGTTATTTTTATTATTAAATTTAATTTATGTTTTCTTTAATAAACTTACCCATAAGATTAAATTTAAACCAATTAATGGTACTTTTAAGAAACGTGGAGTTGATGGTAATAAATTTGATGTATCAACCATTTTAAAATTATATATGTTTTATATCTAACAGGAAAAAAAAAAATTTATATAGTGTTTAAATAAATAAAAATCTAAAAATTAAATTAATATATATAATAAAATTTTAAAATAAATGTAAAATTATAAATAAAAAAATATATTTTATTTATTGATTTATATGTGTATTGTGTTGTATGTGTGTGTGAGAGTGTGAGAGTGTTTAATTAAAAAAAAATTAAAAAATTAAAAAAAAATTTTTTAAAAAAAAATAATTTAAAAAAATAAAAAAAATTAATTATTTTAAAAAAAATTCAAAAAAATAAAAAAAAAAAGAAAGAAAAAAAAAAAAAAAAGAAAAAAAATAATTATAAGAATCGGTTTTTTTGGTTTTTGATAACTTTGGATTTTTTCCTTTACATACATATTTAATTTAAATATTTTAAAATAAAATATATGATTGAATTATTTTAATATTGATTTGTTTTTTTGGAAACAATTTATAAAAATTTTATTTATAGTATATATCTATTTATTTAAATAATAATAAAAAAAATAAAAAAATCACAACATTAAAATTTTTAAAAAATAAATAAAACAAAAAAAAAAAAAAAAAAAAAAAAAAAAAAATAATTAAATTTAGAAGGTGATAGGTTTAAATTTTCAAATTTTTTTTTCCCAACACATCAAAAATTCACGTATAACACATAGGCAAAGTTATTTTTACTTTATTGGTTTTTTAAATGTTTTTTTATTTAAAATGAGTGTTTTATAAATAAATTATATTGTAACATATATAAACATAAATACATAAAACAAAATATAAAAATAATATAATAAATATATATAATTGGAAATATTACCTACACTTTTGTTATTATATTATTTATTATTATAACAATTAATAAATGTAATTAATAAATAATTTAAAAAAAAAAAAACGAAAAATTTTTTTATTTTATTTTTTAATTTTTTTTTATTTTTTCATTTTTCATATTTTCATACATTTAAATTTAAATAGATATTATGTTATTATATATATGCTAATATACATAATAGCAGTTAAATAGTTCAAAATGGAAGATGACATTGGATGGAGTTTGTCAAGTTTAATGGAGTATTATAATCCAGGTGTTGATAATAGTTATAATAATAAGAATAATAAACAAAAAGAAATAAAGGATGACCTGTCGGAACAAGAACAAGAACAACAACAACAACAACAACAAAATAATAGTTATAGATATAATAATAGTGACAATGATGAAGAGGAAATTATAAAGAGTCCAACACCACATTCAAAGAGTTATTACCAACAGTTTGAATATGATGTTGATGATGAACCAATTTATAGAACTCCCACCCAATTACCAAAATTTGGCACAAAATCGACTATTTCAGAATCATATTCAGCATCGATTGAGTCACCAATACCAATTTCATTACCAAGACCTATATTATCTCCAACCAAAAACTCACCATCAAAGTCATCAAAATCATCAAAATCAACAAAATCAACAAAATCATCGAAATCATCCTCCGAGAAACCAAAAGATAAAGAAACTAAAACAACCACTACCACAACCACCACAACAACAACAGCAACATCAGAACCAACACGAACAACAAAAAAACCAAATATAAATTTAAATCAACTTAAAAATTATGAATCACCAGTTATAACACAAATTAAAAAAGATTTTCCATATATAGAGTTAAATAAAGAGTTTTTATATTCAGATTCAAAAGTGTTACCAAGTAATTTTACAGATAAATATTTGGACCATTTAGAGGATCAAATTGATTCTTTATGGAGCAAAATCAGTCCAAAAGATAAAGTAAAGTATATTTAAATTAAACAATTAATTATATAGGTTTACTAATTATCATCGAAATTTTTTATAGGAGGGAAATGAAATAGAATTAACTTCATCAATTATGAAAACATTAATTTATTATTCATCAAAAAAGTTAACAGATATTTTAGATCATATGTTTTATAAAGGTTCACTTACAAGAGATTCAAACGGTAATGATAATTCATTTAAGATTTTACCAAAGGATGTAATAGAGTCATCATTTGTAGCAGGAATAGACAATGACATTATTAATAAATCAATTATCGAAATCAATTCAATATTACCTCAAAAAGAATTAACGATACCAATAGATTACACATTTAAAATCAACCAAAAATATTATAAACATGATAAAGAAATAAAAAGAAAACTACAAATCGAAAATCAATTTAGCACAATTAGTAATATTGGACCAAATATAAAAACAATTAGCGAGAGTGGGGTGGATACTAGCAGTTTTAGTACTAATAGTGGACCAATAAAATTATCAAAAAGGAAATTAGATGATTTAAATGTTTTAAATGATTTAAGAAGTGCACTCGATGACGACGATGACAATACAAATAAAAAGAAAAAAAATAATACAGAGGAAAAAGAAATAGGTGGTTTAACATTGGAAGAAAAGCTTCAAATTTTAAAGGATGAGTTTGAGAAGATTAAATTGGAAATAAAGATTCAGAAGTATAAAGAAATTTTACCAGACTGGGAAATCAGAGAATATCCAGATCCAAATCGTAAAATTATTTTCATCACTCCATATAACGACAAGAGATTTTATTACCCCAGACATGCACTAAATTGGAATAAAGAGAACAAATACAAGCCCAATGTAGATAATATCGATCAATACCTTGATTCATTTTCAAATGATTTAAATAAGATTATTTCTGAAAGAAGACAAGAGTTTAATCAAAAGGTTAAAAAAGAAAAAAAAAGATTAAAACAAGAGTTATATTTAGAAAAGCAATCATTGAGTTTAGAAAAAGATTTAAAGAAAAAAAAGAAAACAAAAAAAATAAAATAAATAAATATTTAATAAAGTTTTTTATTAAATTTGTAAATAGTATTTTAAAAATAAATTTATAATTGTAATCTTTTATTATTTTTATTAATTTTTTTATTAAACCTATAAAATTTTTATAAATATTTATGCACATTTGTAATATTACTTTATTTGATATTCATATTTTATTTATTATTATTATTATTATTATACAACATTTCTTTATGATTCTTCATTTTTACAAATAATGAATGAGTATGGGTATGTACATTCCATAATACTAGATTTATCATCTGTAGTATGATAACAATCTAGGAATTGCTTTTTTAAATCTGGTAATATATCTTTATTTGTTTTTAAATAGCTATTGTAACCACTCCATGTTTTGTAGATGTTGATAAAATGATTAATTGATAGTTTAATCTATAATTAAAAAGTAAAAGTTTTATTAGTTAAATTGATATAAAGTATAAAAATATGGTTGTTTTTATATGATAGTTACTGTATAGTTTAGACTAACCCTTTCTACAATATCAAAAGGTGGTTTGATATCTCTGTATTCATTATCAATCATTTTAATTTCTGGAGCCCAGTAATCCTTTAGAGTGTTAAAGTAGTGGTTTTCATGAATTTCCTTTGCTTTTTGATTGTTCTTTAAATCGATGATTCTATAACACCACATTACTATAGCTCCAGTTTTCTTTAGTACTCTTTTACACTCTTTAAAGAATCGATCCAAGTCTAACCAATGTACAGCTTGAGCAACGGTAATTAAATCTACAGAGTGGTCATCTAAAAAACTTAAATCCTCTCCTTTAGATTGAATAAAATCTACATTGGGACTCATTGATTTGTCACATTCATCTATTTGACCTTGTGATGGATCTACACCTATAACTTTTTTAAATACTTTTGCCAATTCGTGTGTTGCTTGGCCATTTCCACAACCTATATCAACACAAAAATCTCTTCTTAATGGGTCTATATGATTTAATATAACTGCATAAACATCGCTGGGATATGGTAGCCTATACTGTTTATACAAACTTGATACTTTTCCACCGAAATAATCTTTTTCGAATGTATTATCATTCATTTTGCTGTAATATATAATTTTATGTATTGTTGTTTTTATTATTATTAAATTAAAGAAATTAAGCACACACACTGCACTGCGAAAAAAAAATTAAAAAAAAAAAATATAAAAATTAATTAAAAAAAAGAAATTTAAAAAAAATATTAAATAAAAAAAAATAATTATTGTAATTGTTTTTTTTTTTTGATTATAATAATTTTCTTTTTATTTATAAATAAATTATATTTTAATATTCTAAATTTATAAATTTATTTATTTCGATCTTTTATAATAAAGCAGCTAATAAACCTAATAATAAAATAGTGAAGCTAACATAAACGGTTGATGAGGATGAGGAGGAGTTGTCTTTGGCATTACAATCAGCAGTGAAAATATTTTTTCCATCGGAGGCAATTGCAACTGTTTGACCACAGACAAGTTCAATTTGGAGTGGGGTAAGGAGATTACAGGTGTTACCAAGTTGGTAGGCATAACCTGATGCATAATTGTCATTGGCAATGAGTTTAACAGCAGATGGAGCGATAGCACATGGAACAGATTTACATTCACCTGCACTTAAGGAAAAATTGCAACTACCAGAAGAGCTTTTGAAGGTAACATCAGCGGTGGCGAAGGCTAAGAAGGCTAATAATAAAGCAATGATGAATTTCATTTTATTTGTTTTTTGAATGTTTTAATTATGTATTTGATAATTTTTTAAAATGATAATTTCCCTTTTAAAAATTTTTATTTTATACTTTCGAAATTTTTTTTTAATTTTTTCCTTAAATTAAAAAAAAAAAAAAAAAAAAAAAAATTCTTTTGAAATAAAGAATAGATATTAAGGAAATCTTTGTAAAATAAGAATGATGGTAACAAAATTTTAATTTTTTATTCCATTTTTTCATTTTTTCTTTGGTTTTTAAAAATATAGGGGCGCAGTCTTGGTTATAAAAAAATTAATAAAAAAAAACAATGAAATTTTTTTTTTTTTAAAAATTAACGCACATAAAAAAAACACATCCCTTGCATAAATTTTTTTTTTTTTATTAAAATTTTTGTATAAAAATAACAAAAAAATAATTAATAAACGAACTTAAGTATTTTATTTATATTTAAGATTCATTTTTTATTATTATTGCAATTTTCAAAATTTTAAATAATATTAATGTTTGGAAAAAGGTTTACATGAATTATAATAATTTAATTTTAATTCATTGTAATTATAAGATTTTAATTATTTAATTTTAGTTATTTAATTTGAAATTATTTTTTATTTTTTTATTTTAAAACATAGAGATTAAAAATTATCAGTTTGGATCATTTGGAAGATTTTATTTTTAAATAAAATAAAAATTAATTTTTTTTTAAAATAGATAATGCAAAATAAAAAAAAGATAAAAAGGATAATAGTTTGTAAAATAATAAAGATAATTGAAAATATTAAAGGTTTTTATTATTTAAATAAAAAATGTTTATTATTACAGTATTTTCCATAATGTTTTGACCTAGAATAGTCAAAACTATAAATTATTATGTATATTATCTATTTTTTATTTTCTATAATCAATTAAAATATGTGGAAAAAATACTTTAATTTTATTTTTTCTTAATTTTTATTATTTTTTTTATTATTTTTCTTTTCTAAAAAGTATGTTAATTATTTATGGAAAGATACAGTTCCGGAGATATATGTAGATCCCCTGGTGATATTAAATATCTATAGTATTTTGATTTGTTTGAATTATTATTGACACAGCCTAAAAATAGTTAATGTTAATAAAAAAAAAGTGAAGGAAATAGGGGTAAAAAAATAAAATTAAAAAAATAAAATTAAATATTTATCTTTTAAACAAAATGGGGTAATAATAAATATGTAACTGTTGATGGAATAGCCTTGGGTAAACATTGGACAGGTCAAATAACAAGGCAACTAATTTCTAAATTACTAATACCATAGATTTTAAATTCTAAATTAAATACTTTAATAAAAGGTATTAATTTAAGTATAATTATTATAAATAGAAATAAAAAAATGTTAAAACTTACATTTTAGTGTTTTAAAATCTTATTTTACAAAAGGAAAATCATCAAGTACTTCTAAATAGCTGTTTATTAGGACGTTTTCCAAATACAAGTATTCTACGGTGGTATAAAATTTAGTGATTGATTAAAGCCACCTAGTAAATATAAATGCACAACTGAAGTTGGAATTGAATCAGGTATTAGTTGATACTTGATGTTTTTTAAACGCAAAGAGTCTACAGTGGGTGGTATAAAATTAAGTGGTTGATTAAAGTCATCTAGTAAAGATAAAACTTAGAAAAATAAAAAAAAACTAAAACTTAGAAATTGACTTTAAAAATGGAACTATTTTACCCCGAACTTAGAAACCCCTTTTTTTCAAAAAATAAACTAAATTTTTTTCCCTACTTTTCTCCGAACGGTGTTTAAGAAGTCTTGGCTAGGTTATTTTTGTTTTGGGTGATATCAAATAAAACTTTTTATCTATGTTTAGATTGTTTTTTTATTGAAATTTGTTTTTTTGTTTTATTAAATAATTTATTAAATTTAAATTTAAAATTTTATTTCCGGATGTTCATAGCCGGAGAGATATTCAATTGTTTGATCGGAGTTTGAAATGGAGTTAGGTTTTAAAGGATAGACCACATCACCCATATAAATATTAGTTATAGAACCAGGGATAATACCTTTTGTAAAACGTTGAGAGAAACCATTATCAAAAAAAAGAGATGTTAAATGATTTGGAATTGAACCAGGTATCAATTGATACTCGATGTTATATAAAAGCAAGCATTTTACGGTGGGTGGTATAAAATCAAGTGGTTGGTTAAAGCCATCTAGTAAGGATAGGGTTTTAACTGTTGCTGGAATTGAATCATGTTTTAATTGATACTCGATATTTTCTAAAAGCAAACAAACCACTGTGGGTGGTATAAAATCAAGTGGTTGATCAAAGCCATCTTGTAAGGATAGAGTTGTAACTGTTTCTGGAATTGAATCAGGTTTTAGTTGATACTCGATGTTTTCCAAATACAAGTATTCTACGGTGGGTGGTATAAAATCAAGTGATTGGTTAAAGCCATCTAGTAAAAATAAATTTGTAACTGTTGTTGGAATTGAATCTGGTTTTAATTGGTACTCGATGTTTTCTAAACGCAAACAGTCTACGGTGGGTGGTATAAAATCAAGTGGTTGATTAAAGCCATCTAGTAAAGATAAAGTTGTAACTGTTTCTGGAATTGAATCATGTTTTAATTGATACTCGATGTTATGTAAATACAAGTATTCTACAGTGGGTGGTATAAAATCAAGTGATTGATTAAAGCCATCTAGTAAATATAAATGTATAATTGTTGTTGGAATTGAATCAGGTATGAGTTGGTACTTGATGTTTTTTAATTGCAAAGAATCTACAGTGGGTGGTATAAAATCAAGTGATTGATCAAAACCATCTAGTAAAGATAAAGTTGTAACTGTTTCTGGAATTGAATCAGGTTTTAGTTGATACTCGATGTTATGTAAATACAAGTATTCTACGGTGGGCGGAATAAAATCAAGTGATTGGTTAAAGCCATCTAGTAAATATAAATGTGTAACTGTTTCGGGAATTGAATCTGGTTTTAATTGATATTTTATGTTTTCTAAATGCAAACTATACACAGTGGATGGTATAAAATCAAGTGATTGATCAAAGCTATTTAGTAAAGATAAAGTTGTAACTGTTTCTGGAATTGAATCAAGTTTTAGTTGATACTCGATGTTTTGTAAATACAAGTATTCTACAGTGGGTGGTATAAAATCAAGTGATTGATTAAAGCCATCTAGTAAATATAAATGTGTAACTGTTTCCGGAATTGAATCAGGTTTTAATTGATACTTGGTGTTTTCTAAAAGCAAAGAATCTACGGTGGGTGGTATAAAATCAAGTGATTGATTAAAACCATCTAGTAAAGATAAACTTGTAACTGTTTCTGGAATTGAATCAGGTACTAATTGATACTTGGTGTTTTTTAAACGCAAACAATCTACGGTGGGTGGTATAAAATCAAGTGATTGATCAAAGTCATCTAGTAAAGATAAGGTTGTAACTGTTTCTGGAATTGAATCAGGTTTTAATTGATACTTTATGTTTTCTAAATACAAGTATTTAACAGTGGGTGGTATAAAATCAAGTGATTGATTAAAGCCATCTAGTAAAGATAAATGTATTACTGTTGTTGGAATTGAGTCAGGTTTTAATTGATACTTAGTGTTTTCTAAACGCAAAAAAAATACGGTGGATGGTATAAAATCAAGTGGTTGATCAAAGTCATCTAGTAAAGATAAGGTTGTAACTGTTGTTGGAATTGAATCATGTTTTAATTGATACTTGATGTTTTCTAAATACAATAATTCTACGGAAGATGGTATAAAATCAAGTGGTTGATTAAAGCCTTCTTCTAAAAACAAATTTGTAACTGTTGTTGGAATTGAACCAGGTACTAATTGATACTTGATGTTTTCTAAATGCAAACAGTCTACGGAAGGTGGTATAAAATCAAGTGGTTGATCAAAGCCATCTAGTAAAAATAAATGGGTAACTGTTGTTGGAATTGAACCAGGCATTAATTGATACTTGATGTTATGTAAATACAAGTATTCTACGGTGGGTGGTATAAAATTAAGTGGTTGATTAAAGCCATCATGTAAATATAAATGTGTAACTGATACTGGAATAGCCTTGGGTAAACATTGGATAGATCCAATAGCAAGGCAACTAATTTCTAAATTACTAATATCATACCCTTCTTCAAAGATTACAAATTCTAACTTAAATACTTTATTAAAAGAAATTAATTCAAGTGCAATTAGTTCATATAAAAAAAAAAATTTAATGTTAAAACTTACATTTTAGTGTTTTTAAATTTTTTTTAAATAAATAGTTATATTGTTGATTATTTGACATTATTTAGTTTTTAAATTTGGTTTTTTATTTATTACTAAAATTTTATTGTTTATAATAACAATAAATATTTTATATAAACTTACACCGAGAAACGATTTAATAAAAAAATAAAAAAAATAAATAAAAAAATAAAAAAAAAATTTTTAAAAAATTTTTCAAAGAAAAAATAAAATTCTGGCAAATGCCAGTAGGTTTTCACGAAATTAACTGCAATTCATTATTTCACTATTAATAAATTTTAACTCTGTTTTATTAGTGCTTCTTTTTGCGGCTTTGTAGTTATCCAACAGTATTCTCAATATTGTTTTGACCCAGAATGATCATCAATACTATTAATTATTGTGTAAATCCTCCTATTTTATTTTTATTTTATCAATTAAACGGTATAAAAAATAAATTATTTTTTAAAAATACTGCCTTTTTATTTTATTTATTTTTATTTTGTTTTTTGTTAATTTCTTTATAAAAAAAGAAGGTTAAATCTTTATTGAAAGATTATTAATTTTTTTCTTTTTTTATTATTATTTTTCTTATTTTTTTTATTTTTATTTTTATAATATTATATTTTAATAAAGCTATAATAAATATAACAAAATGATTAAATAAAAATTTGAAAACCGAAAAAAAAGAAAAAAAATAAAAAAAAATATTTGGTTCTGTTTTAAATTATTTTGGAATGATTGAAAAAAGAAAAAAAAAATCGAAAAAATCAAATATCAATTTTTTAACTTATTTATAATATTATAAAATAATTTTGATTCACCCATTAGCAAAGGTTAACATAGTTTTTATTAATTTTTTTTTTAGTTTTTTAATTTTGATTTTTTATTTTTGGTTAATATTCAATTTTTTTAAATTAGTTTTTATTATTTAATTATCATGTTATTAGCAATTCATCTATAAAATTCCGTATCTTTCCAGATGTATCAGTATTTCACTCTAAAAATATCTGAATTCCATATATTTCTAAATTTTTCAGTATCTTCCTTGTTATGCTTATAATCACCTTAAAGATTTGAGGATTCATTATTATAAAAAGCCCAGATAGCTCAGTCGGTAGAGCGCAAGGCTTTTAACCTTGTGGTCGGGGGTTCGAGCCCCCCTTTGGGCGAATTATTTTATTATTAAATAATCTTCCCGTTGATTTTATCTTCCCGGAAAACGAATAAGGTACGATTTTTCAATTTGTCTTTCTAAAAGCCAAATGGAAACATCAACTCATCCAATCAAGACATTGAAAAAGTGTTAAAAGAACAACTTAACTTAAAAATTGACTTCTTCTTTTCTCACATCAAAGTCAACAAAAACAATACCTCCTTTTTCCACCTCATTAAAAAAAAAAACAACCCAATCAAATCAAAGCTACTCCAATCACCATACTATCGTATTAAGAATAAGTCTGCAACAAAATCAAAAATCATCCTAACAACCAAATCAATGAAGATACGTCAGGGGTCTCCACTGATAAAGAAATTGATAACAACATTACTATAATCAATCAATTAATCAAAAAAGATAGTGTCGACTTTAATGTTATAGATGATGATTACAAAGAAAATATTTATGATAACGAATCTAACAATTCAACTAACACACTAGATAATGAGGAAATTTCTAATGACGAAGCAAACAAACAAACAAAAAACCAATCACCTCAAGATGACAATAAATCATCAACCAGCAAACCCTCAAGAACATCCATGGTTAACGCACTAAACAACATCTTTACAAGATTAGCTTCACCAACTTCCAAAAATAAAACCGCCATAACAAATATGAATACCACCACAAAAAAAAACCGTACTCGAAATGTTAACCAGATTTCCACACCAATCAAAACCACTCCGTACAAATCAGGTAGTCCGAAATCACCTGCTATTGAACAAAAAATTTAAGAAAAAAAAAACTTCTTAAACTTGATAGGCCGTTTCAACCTTACCCCAACCACTACTTCTTCTTATATTTTAATATAAATAAACACCGTCGCTTACACTAATAATATTTATTATATTATTAAGAAAGATTTTTTAAATATAATAAAAATGAATATTACAGTTATAACTATATCTCAAATAAATAATATATTTATCCACTTTATAAATTTTTTTTTTTAAATTTTCTTTTTTGGTGAATTAAAATAATTGTTAATTGTTATTGAGTAATGATCCTTGTTCATTACACCACAACCCTAAGATACGTAATGTATTCATATGCATTTTGGTATTAAGCTATTCTTTTACTGATTAATTTAAAGCATTAGCTTTTAATTATCTTTTAAATAAAAAAAAAAAAAAAAAAAAAAAATTTAAAGCATTAGCTTTTAATTATCTTCACTTTTAAATAAAAAAAATTTAGTATTAAAACCACACACATATTGGGGCACCACGCCCAACATTATTTTATTTATTATGTGATGTGTGGATGGCTCAAAACAAAATAAAAAATACTGATAATTTGACTTATGAAAACTAAAAATAAACCATAATAAAAATAAATTTTATTTTGTGACCTTTTTTTTTTCTAATATTTTTTATTTAAATTTTTTTAGTCAGATGAGGACATTGAAATTGTAGTTGAAGTTGCAGATTTTGAGTTATTTAAGATAAAAATACCAACATTTCCTTTTTTAAGTGAAATGTAAACTTTATCCTTTAATAATACATAAGCCCCAAGCATAACTACAACAAACCCTACAATTGAAACTACGATCGCAGTGGGAACAATCCAAGCACTTTTTTTAACTGAACAATTATTATTATTTGAAATAAGGACACTAAAATCTGGGTCTAATAAACATTCTTTACAATATGGCATTGATATTGAAACTGTAATTGACTCATCATTTTGCTCCTCTAATGAAACAGAACTAAAAGTGGCTCTACCATCAGACATTACCTTGTCAATAAATCTACCATAGAGAACATGTTCACCTTTTTGAATTGATAAATAGTTAATTGATGAACCATCATTGTTTTGGCCAATTGATGACCCGTCACAATCACTTTTTAAACTTGTTTTAGCAGTTGATTCAATTTGAAGCTTTAAAGTGTTTAGTGAGCCTATTAAATAATTTGAAAATAAATTAGAACTAAACAAAACAACCGTGATATTGTTATGATACAATTAAAAACCTACCCAAATACTCCCAATTTTGTATACTTGCGGAAAGCTTAATAGCACCAGGTTGAAGTGTAATATTTTGACCAGCAAATTCAAAAGTTTTTTGAACTCCAACAATTTGTTCGACTGTATATGATATAACAGTGTTATTAATCTTATGAACATAAGTCCATTTTTGTTCGTTTGAAGAAGGAACCAATCTCCAATCATCAACTTTTAGAGAATATGTTCTAACCACTTTTGATTCTATATCTATTTCTTTAATATCTTTAATTGAAAAACCAAATGAATATCCATCTTTAATAATTTCGACCAATGTCTGGTTCACTACGATAACTGGATCTTTTATAAAGATTTGTTCGCAAGTAGCTCCACCAAAACCTGCATCGCAAATACAATTGCCAGATACACTTTCACATTCACCATACAGGCCACAATTGCAAGGAACAGAAGTATCCACATATCTAAAACTATTTAATCCAAAAAATACAGTGCCATTAAGAGTGAGAGTAATGTTTTGTACACCTGTTCCCGGACCAACGTTGCAAACAATTATAAATTCTGATATATTTTTTAAATCACATGGTTTGGTACCAATTTCGACTGATAAACTATCATATGGACCATCAGTAAAGCTACCAAAAAGAGTGACTAAGCCACCACTAGGCGAAGGAGGATGAACTGCACTGATCCATGGAGCAACTCTTTCAAATTTAAACGTAAATGTTCCATAAAGTTTGGTTATAGAATTGTAAATAACAACCTGGTATTCTTTTTCTGGTAATTGAGGTTTTGGTAATACACACCCAACAGTTGAACCACCTGGATTTTCAATAGCACAAGGAGAACCATCGATTGTAATATTTCCATTTGATGATATGTTATCTTTACTAAAAGGTAGGCCAGAGCCAACAAAAAAAAAGTAATAACCAAACCTATAGTATGGTCTATACCGAACATATGATACAAATGGTTTGGCTAAAGTGAATGTTGCTGATGCCGTTATTTGTTGTGGAATAAATAAAATTTCGAATTTTCCCAATTCTAAAAGTTTGTAATAGGTAGAGTTTGATAGAGAACCAGTCCTTAGTTGTAAATTTGGTATTTCATTTCCTATTGAAAGTGATGGAGTCGAACTCATTGCTGGATATCCGTTTCCTCCCTCTAATACTGTGTCGTACCAACCAAAATTTTCTCCAGTTATTAAAGAATTACCAAAAAGGGCAATTTGAAAGGGATTCATGGTAATACCTGGACACTTAGGAAACTGTTTATAATCTGTAGTTCCACTAATATAGTTTAAAAAATTATTTCCTTGGATCCTTTCCCTAAGCAATGTAAAATTTAAACTGCAAACATAACAATCTGGTAAATTTCCACCAAGATTATTGTTGGCTAGGTCTATAAAATGATAACAATAGTTTTTTGGTATGACTCCGTCAAAATTGTTGTTTGACATGTCATAACCTAAAACATCTTCTTTTTGAGTTGGAATTGGTAATGGGGGGAGATTACCAGTAATACTGTTATTTGAAATATTAATAAACTTTAATTTTCCAACAACTATGGTTGGAAACTTTGTCAAATCTGAATTTATATAAGTGCTTTACATTTAATAAAAAATATCACTGTGGTTAGTGTTTAGAATCTAAAAAATAAATTAAAAATAAAAAACCTACAAAATGTTTAAATTTGGGCCAAGTATAAGATTTAAATCGTTTTCAGAATTTTTAAGCCCTTTACAACCATCAAAACCCCTTTTTTTTTTAAAGTTAAAAAAAAACTATTGTTAATATTAATTTTTAATTATATAAACCTTTAAAAGAAAAAAAAAACAATACATACAAAGAACCTATTGATTGAGAAAAATCTATTATAGTATCGACCTGGAAATTTATATTAATAAAAGCCAAATCAACTTTAATAGCCAATGGGCTTGAAATATATACAGGTTTAGTATTAAATCCAGGATAAACCCTTGTTATTGCAGAACCATAAATAGTTGATAAATATTGAAAACTCGTCATATCAAAATTGCTTCCTAAATATAAGTTTCTAAATTTTGTATAAGTATAATTTGGAAATAACTTAATAAAATAAACCATTTATTTATAAATCAAACCAATACTTACAAATTGCCCATATTAACGAAATTTGAAAAATTAAAAAAATTATTTAATGTCAAAGAATAATTCTTTCTTGTTTGACTTAGGGCTTTTAAATTATCCAAAAAGCTATAATCGCCCATTCTATCCTGTGATGAAAACATTAAATCGCTAAAAATTATAAATTAGTATACCATTTTTTTTTTTTTTTTTTTTTTAACTTACAAGTATTCTACTCTAGAAACAGTACTTGTAAAAATAGTGCCTGAAAATTTTACATCATTGAAATATAACCTAGTTATTGATTGTATATCTGTTGGAAATGATGTGAAATCACTTGAGGTTAATGTAAAGGTTTTAAAATAATAACTTGGGATTTCTGTGAAAAAATTATCTGATAGAATTGTATTTGTTATATTTAATTCCTCTAAATATTTAAAATTTTTTATTATATTGCCTGAAAAAGTTGGTTTTAAATCTAAACCATCTAAATATCTATAAAATAATTAAATTAATAAGAAATTACAAAATTATAAAATATAAATGTATAATTATTGCTAATTTTTACATTTTAATTGTTTTATTTTTAAAATCGCTGTTGCACACAAAATGATTTGTAAGTGAGCAATAATCATCGATGGGTGTTGGGTATTGTAAATTATATATTGATATTAATTGATCAATTGATGACTCTATAAAAAAAATAATTTTATATATAAATATATTAATGAATGATTTTTTTTTTTTAAATATGAAATTAATTAACAAAATAAAAATAAATTACTTACTCTCAGTATCCGGAAGCATGTCGGCTGATCTTGAAACATTTATAAATAAAAATGAAATAAATAATATTACAAAATTATAATTTATTTTCATTTTCCCCATTTTTTTTTATTTTTACAAAAAATAACATAAAATAACATAAAATAAATAAAATAAATAAAAGAAAAGAAAAAAAAAAAAGAAAAGAAAAACCAAATTGGAATTATATATAGAGAAGTTTATAAATTTTTTTATTTATTCGCAGTTTATGAAAAAACAAATAAAATATATATATATATTATAAACTTGAGTGTTTCCTTTTTGGAAAAAAAAAAAATAAAAAAATAAAAAAGATTTTTGTTTTATAAAAATAAAAAAAATTATCTTAAATATTTAATAATTTAAATTATTTAAATATTAAATTTTTAAGAAAAGAGAAATACTAAATCTTTTCTGTTTCTATAGAATAATTATATTTATTTTTTTTTTTACTGTAAAAAAAAAAATTCAAAAAAAAAAATCAAAAAAAAGAAAAAAAAGAACGACGGTTTTTTTTAAATAAAATTTTTTTTTAATCAACCGGTTATTTGAATCTTTGAAAAAAAAAAAAAAAAGATCATTTGATGTTTCCTTAGAACCGCTTATTTGTGCCTGTAAAAATAAATCAATTATTATTTATGCCCAATATTTTATTATTGGGTGATTTTCTCGATAATTCAAAAAAAAATAAAAAAAAAATAGTAAAATACTTTTGGCATATAAATGCCACAACAATCAAAAAAAAAATAAAAATAAAATTTTGATAAAAAAAAAGTAAAAAAATCAAAAACCAAAAATCTCACATTAATTTACTTTGTTTAATTTTTATTTTATATTTTATATTTTTTATTTTTTATTTTTTATTTTTTATTTTGTTTTTTATTTTTTTAAGTTAACTATTTTCTATTTAATAAAAATGAAGTTAAAATACCACCACCAAATAAACTTGCTACAGCAATAAATGAGCCTAGTTCCATTTTAGCCATTGAGTTTAAGCCATGACCTGATGTGCAACCATTAGCAATTCTGGCACCAATTAATAAAATAAAACCACCCAAGAAATGTGTTAAATAGGTTTGTGAACCACCAGCAGCATCGAGAGGTGGTGCTGGATTGGATAATGATGACAAATAGGCACCAAAAATAATACCAGCATTTAATAATGGTCCAAAATATGCTTTTGATCCAGAATTAAACTTTTTAAAATAATCGACAGTACAACTAAAGGCATTGCAGACTTTTGAGCCAATTGTAACGTATGCACTGCTACATCCAAGACCTCCCTTTGAAATTAAATGAGTTGGAATTTGAAGAAGACCAATGGTGAGACCTGCACGGTATGGAGACCAAACACTATCTGAGCCTAAAATTGAGGTATTTGGTGAAACACCACTATCACTTTGCCATGGGAAAAATGATTCGATAGTATAGAGAACACCTGCGAGCATCAAAGCAAATGGAATGGTAACTTTTGCCATTGATACATTAAGTTTTTGATAAAGTGTTGGTTTGTCATCATTTTTGGCAGGGAAAAGTTTATTTATGATCTTATCTATGTATCCATAAAAAGTTGCACCAACAACACCACCTAATAATGTAAATAATGTTCCTTTAATTTCTGGTACTTGTGCAAGTACTGTACCTGGACTATAAAAATTAATATTAATATTAATATTAATAATTGTTGATCAACAATTTTTTTTTTTAAAATAAATATTTACCATGCACCGGTTAGATAGATACCTGAACCCATAATTAATCCACCAATTAGATTTCTAAATTAAATAATAAATTAATATTATGATTTTTTTTTTTTTTTTAATTAATTAAAGTTAAATAAACAAATACCTTTTATACATGACTGGAAGACTTTCGATTGTAATAAGTTTACGATGATTTAAAAATGTAACGGCTAATGAGCTTGTAAGTGAAGCAGTCATAAACATTTTAAGCATTGTAAAATTTGAAAAATTCATTTGGCCTTGAATAACTGATGGTAAATAAACATTACCACGTTGGAGAGCATATCCAAATATTGTACCTACAAATGCACCACCAACACCCAAAAATATTTTATTACCAAATGATGTAGTTGTAGTATTTACTTTTTTATTTTCTTCTGAACCCATTTTTTGTAAATTTAAAATATATTTTTTATATTTATTAATAATTAGTAATACAATAATACAATAAAAATTATGTAAAGAAAAGAGGTAAAAAATGAAAATAGTTTGAATGAATGAAATAAATGAAATAAAAAATTAAAAAAACAAAAACAAAAATAAAAATAAATTAAAAATAATAAAAAAATAAAAAAATTAAAATTTTTTTTTTTTAATTTTTTTTTTTTTAATACAAAATATCAAGAATATCGAATGTCCATTCCATTGCTTCTAAAAAATCACCAGTAAATTTAAAAAAAATCCATTTCATTGCTTCCATTGAAAATTAAAATTTAAAAATAAAAAAAATAAAAAAAATAAAAAAAATAATTTAAAAATAAAAAAAATAAAAAAAGTGGATTGAACCAAATTTTGATGGGTTGGATGTGTGTTTTGGAATACTTAATATAAATTAGTTTTTAAAAATATATTTTATTTTTTTTATTTTTTATTTTATGTATGTATATATGTTAATATTTATTCCGAAAATGGTGGAAATCTAATAACCAATACTGAAATATTATCAGTACTACCACGATTAAAAGCTTGATCTCTTAATTTTATAGCTGCTTTTTCTGGATCTGATATTGGGGCCGCTATACTAACAGCTTCTTCATCGGAAATAACATCCCAAATACCATCACAAGCAATAATCATAAATTGATTTTTAATATGAGTTTCGAGATTAACAGGACCATGAATTTCAGGTTCAAAACTGACATAAGGATTGAGGAAAGAATCACCAAGGGCTCTTGATACCGCTAATTGACCATTGACACGGGATGTTGATACACCGGCACTATTTGTGGTTGTAACAACATTGCCACCCAAATTACGAATACGTTCCTCTTCTTTTGGGAGATTTGGTTTATGATCTAGTGACACTCTAACTGCAATACCATCTCTGCAAAGTACAGCACGTGTATCACCAACATTGGCTATGTAGCCCTTTTTTCCAATAAATAAAGCGACGACTGCTGTTGTACCACCTTTAACTCCACGATCGTTAATAATTGCATGTGTTGATGCGAATGATTCTTTTAAACATTTTACTGGATTCGATATATTTTGTTTTAATTTCTCTGCTAATACACGATGAAGTTCGGTTGATGCAATTTTAGCTGCATCAGCACCACCATGACCGTCAAACAATGCAAAGTAATCTTCATCATGTTTACCTCTATATGTACCATAAATTACTGATTCATCCTCCATATTTGCTCTTCTACCAATGGTTTCAGCAAATCCAACTATAAATCTTGATGAATTACCTTTGACAACTCTACTTAATAAATTATTGGTTGATGAGCTTTTCTTTGATTCTTTACTATTCGATGATGATGATGAGGAGGAGGATGACGAAGTGGTTGAAATAGAGTCTTTGTTATTTGCTGTTGAGGACTCTTTGCCAGCTGAAGTTGTATCTATTGTGGCACTTGAATCTTTATCTTTTTCTTGGGGCTCTTTAGATTTACGATGGTGGTGATGATGACGATGTCTTCTTAACTTTGATAATAAACCAATTGGCTTTGATATTAATGAACTTGACTCTTTTGGTAAAGCTCCTGGGATATGAATTTGTACAGATGGAGTTTTGGGTGTAACAATTTTAAATTCACCATTTTCTAATACAGGTGGACCTTTTAAATAAAATGCATTACTTCTGCCTCTACCACCTCTTGGCATCTCTTCTTCATTTGATAAATCTAATGGTTCACCAATTAATTCTGAAATTGGAAAAGCTGGTAAAGAAGATGAAACAAAAACTGGAGATTCTTCTTTTGTAAAAACTTGTGATACTGAATAAGTACCAATTGCAGGTTTGTTTTGATTATTATTATTTTGACTATTACTACTATTGTTTTTAGTAGGTGATACATTTTCTAAATTTAAATTTGGTACAATAACTGATGGTGATGCTGATGATGATGGTGTTGATGATTTTTCTTGTTTAATTTCAATTGTCGATGTTTTTTCTTCATTTTCTTTATCTTCTTTTTTAATATTTTCTTCTTCATCTTTACTATTTCTTAAATTATTATTGTTATTATTATTGTTATTATTATTATTGTTATTATCATTATTATCATTTGAACCATTACCATTTATATTATTTTCATTTATATTGTTATCTTGATTATTACCATTATTATCATTATTGTTATTTTCATTATTATTATTATTATTATTATTGTTATTATTATTATTATTATTATTATTATTATTATTATTATTATTATTATTATTATTATTATAGTTTGAGTTTTCGTTTTGATTATTTACATTTTCTTTATTTTCTACAATTTTATCAGAATCTATTATTTCGGTTGATTTTGATTTTTTAATAGATTTTTTATTTCTTCTTTCTTTTTTAACTGGTGAGGCTGAAATTGGTTGTTCATCATCATTACTTGATTTTTTGTAATAATGTTTATGTTTCTTTTTTAAAGTGTGAAAAAGTTGTTTGGTTTTGGTTGAAATCTTAGTTGCTGTTGATGAGGAGGGTTGTTGTTGTTGTTGTTGTTGCTGTTGCTGTTGTGATTGGCTTAATTGGTTTATATTAATGGTTGTTGGTACAACTGATGAAACTGATGCTGTGTCATCCAAACTTATTACAATATCGTTTTCGCTATATTTTGGTGTAGTTAAAATTCCAGGGAATGATGGTGCTGAACATGACAACGCAATCGGTGATACCGACTCTTCTGTTGAAACTATTGGTATGGGTATTGATGAAGCTGATATAGAGAGTTTTCTTGGTGGTGGAAGCTGTATATTTTGTTGCTGTTGTTGTTGTTGTTGTTGCTGTTCAATTTCTTTACTTGATTTTAATTCTGTGTCATCAGATGAAATTGGTTGTGATGGTGGTGCAACAATCAAAACACTTGGATTAACAGAAGGTGAGGGTTGGGCACTTAGGGATTGATTTAACATATGTTCTATTGGAGTAATTGCATCCTCCATATCTTTAATAATTGAAAAAATATTCTCTGTTGATAATGAACATTCATTATCATTATATAATGAAAGTGAAGTTGTGGTAAACTCTTCAACCAAGGTAATTGGATTTCTATATACATGTTTACCTCTACCAACAGTCAAATAAGTCCCATTTATATTACCAGTGCTGATGCTTTTAGGAATTGATCCATTACTATTTGAAAGAGCACTAATATTTTCATGATTACTGATAGCTGCTGATATTATTTTATTATTATTACAATTTTCTGAATGTGATGAATTTGATGTATAATGTTTATTTGAACAACTGGTATTGCTACAAGAACAGGTTTCTGAATTTAATGCTTTACAATCTGGACAATTACTTGAATCTGTATATTCTGAATCTGAAAGGTCAATTTCTTCTGATGTAGATTCTGAATCTGAATCATCATTATAATCTTCATTTATTATTTTACTATTACACGCTTTTTTTGGACTTTTATTGATATTATTGTTGGTGGGTTTTTCATTACTACCAATAATATAGTTTAAAGATTCAACTTCTTCCATTTTAAAAATTGTTTATTATTTATTATATATAAAATATATTGTTTTGTGAAATTTATGTTTAAAATAAATAACTAAAATTATTATTGATATTTTTTTTAAAAAAAAAAAGTTAATATGGTTTTTTAATATAAAAAAAAAAAAAAAAGAAAAAAAATACTTACTATGTATTTATGTTGTCTATCTTTTTATATGTTACAATTTAATAATTTATTATTATTATTTAAAAAACAGATTTTGAGATATAATAGTACAGGTTTAAAAAAAATCTAAAATAATTAAAAAAAAAAAAAATTTGTTAATAAAGTGGGTTGTGATTTAACCTTTTTTTTTTATTGATTAAATGTGTGGGTGTGTGAAATATTTATTAAATATTATCTATATTTTTATGTGTTATTATTATTATTATTATTGCTGAACTCCTAGCGAAAGTTTTATGTGTGATTTGATAAAGCTATTTGTAAATTTTAATCCTCGTAGATAATCTATTAAATAACAAAAAATAATACCTTATACTCCGTTAGAGCACAAATAAATTAAAAATGGTAGATAGTGAATGATGATAGTGAAAAAATAAAATAAAAAAGTGGAATAAATAAAACTAAATAAAAATTAAATTAATAAATAAATAACATAAATAACATAAATAACATAAATATAAATTAATAAATAAATAAATAAATAAATAAATAAATAAATAAATAAATAATATTAATAAATAAGAATATGGTGTATACTGAAAACTATTTTTATTTATAAAAAATAAATAATTAAACTATACTATTATTATAATTATTTAAATTAAATAATAGGTACATAAAGAAAAAAATTTAAAAAAATTTAAAAAAAAAAAAATTAAAAATTAAAAATTAAAAAAAATTTAAAAATTTTTAAAAAAAAGAGAAAAAAAAAAAAAAATAATTGATGCAAAACGAAATGTGTGGGGGTTGAACAATAAAATGATAATAATAATACATATATATATATAAAAAAACTGAGAAAGAATTTATTATTGTTTTTGTTTACTTTTATGTATTACATATAAAATAAAAATATATAAATAATATGTGTGTAGTAAAGTGTGTGTTATTGTTGTGCATGATAAAAAAATATGATGTGGGTGAGTAAGTTGCTGTGTGATGTGTGGGTTGTTTTTTTAATATTGTTTATATGTGTGTGAGTGAGTGATTATTATAAAGAACACATATAAATATGGATGTGTGGGTTTGTGTTTATGTATTTTTTTCATAAATTGATTTTCTCTATAGTGCTAATATATTGAATTTAACACGGCACACTTTAACTTGATTTGTCAAATTTGAGTGGTAAAGTGGTATGTGAATAGTGAGTGTGAATGATATTGTATTTATTGTATGTGGTTGTTTTCCTAAAAATAACCTTTTTTTTTTTTTTTTTTTTTTTTTAATTACTAATAAACAACAAAAACAATACAAATAAAATCGATTCGAATTTAATTATTATAAATAAAAAAATGGGATGTTTGGTTTTTATATAGGTGAAAATATTTATTTTAGTTTGGATGATGTTTTTTGTTGTCTTTATGATGTGTTGAGTTGACTCTTTACTTTTTTTAATGATGATCAGTCAATTGTGATCAATCAAATAAACAACCCCGATTAAAACTGTTTTATAAAAATAAATAAAAATAAATAAAAATAAAACAAAAGGTTTTGTAATAATAAAAATATTATGAAAGGTTTATTGATTTTAAAAATTTTACTTTTGAATATATAATGAACAATAGTTTTATTATTATTATTATTATTATTATTATTATATAAACTATTATTTAATATTATGACATAATTAATAATAATGACCCAATTTTTTTCAAAAAAAATAATATTTTTATTTTGTATATTTTAAAAAAAAAAAAAAGTCTTGTGTGGTAGTGTGTGGGTTTATTTTTAACAGTTTGTAACAAAAACAACAACAATAAAAATTGACTGAGGCTATAATTATACTTTTAATTAATATAATTTATTTAATTTACTCCAAAATTCCAAACTCTTAGTTGATTTTGATTTTTACATATATATATTGACATACCTTAAGAAATAAAGTAAAGAAGGGTGTGTTGAAGTGAAGTTTTGTAACAAAGCTGAATTTTGACACGAGATTTTTATATAAATTATTCTATTTTGATGATAGTATAAATAAAACTTTGCCTCTATACTAATAAATTCTTTACAAAATTACAAAACTAATTTTGTCTTTTAAAAAAAAAAACAATATATAACTACAAATTCTGTATATTAATATATTTTTCTTTTTTTTTTTTTTTTGCCTTTAATATTATCTTTATTATTATACAAAATAAAACAAAAAACGATTATAACAGTTTTTTTTTAAAAAATTTAAAATTTTTTTTTATTTTATTTTTTATTTTATTTTTTTATTTTTTAATAATTTTTTTTTTTTTTTTTAAAACTACAACTGAAAAAAATGCCAAATCATCAGATTTTTATTGTAAAAATATTAAAATTGTACCTTTTAAAGAATTTGGATCCCCACTGAGTGTTTTTTTTATAAGATTAAATATTAAACAAAATCGATTGACACAGATTTTTTATAATTTTATTTTTATTTTTTTATTTTTTGATTATTTTTTATTTTTTGATTGGTTTAAAATTTGTTCAAAGTCATTTTCCCATCCCAATAATTTAATAAATTGCTCGATTAAAACTTGACAATCACCAATATATTTTACATCATTTTTATTTGATGGGTCATTGAATTTAAAACCTCCATAAGGATTGGCACCAACTTCTTCGAAATTAATTAATACACGTGGGATATCTTTAGCAAAGTTGATTAATGAGGCAAATGGTTGAACTTTGAGTGATGTACCAATAACAATTAATAGGTCGCATTTAGGGAAATCCTCTCTAACACACTCGTTAAAACGTGATGGTAATGATTCACCAAAAAATACAATATCAGGTTTGACGACACCTTTACATTCTATTGTTTCTTTGCAGTATGGGATTGAATCACTAAATACCTTTTCTCTCACATATTCTGTGGTGTGGGATTGTCTGCAGGTAACACATTTTGAAGATGCAAAAGATCCATGTGCTTCAACTAATTTTTCGGAAGGAATTCCAGCTACACGCTCCAATGTATCAATATTTTGAGTAAAATTTCTTAAAAGTAAACCTTTATCATTTAATAATTTAATAAAATAATGTACAGGTGTTGGCTATATTATAATTAAAAAATAGAAATTAGTTATATTTAAACTACAAATTATAAATATATAAAGTATATTACATTAAATGATCCTGGATATAATTCTTTTGATAAAACATAAAATGGCTTTGGATTATTTTTGAAAAAATCGATTTCAAAAATTGCTTCTGGGTATGGTAAATTATATTGTCCAAGTTTTTGATAGAGACCAGTTTTTGGTGATCTAAAGTCAGGAATACCAGCAGCAACACTAATACCAGCACCAGTCATCACAATAATATTTTTACATTTGCCAGAGTTTATATAGTTTGCAACTTCTTCAATGGTTGGTTGTTTTAAACCACTTGATGGTGTTGTTTCAGTTTTACCGCTACTTCTACCAAAAAACATTTCCTTCATTCTTTGAACTAATGTTGGGGTTACCTCTTCATCAGATGATGATGATGAATCATCTTCGTCACTATTTATAATTTTATCAACATAATCATCTAAAGTTGGTAATGGTGGTGTTGGTTTTTGTGGTATAGTTTGTGTAGTGGTGGTAGTTGTTGTTGATTCAGATGTTGTTGTGGTTGTAGTAGTTGTTGTTGTTGTTGTGGTAGTTGTTGTTTTATCGTCATTAACCTTATCTTCCTCAATACTTGAATCGTTTGGTACGACTTGATCATCAGCTTTTTCTTTATCACTAGCTATTTTTAAACTATTTTTAATTGCCTCAGCTAAATCTTCTTTGTCAAACTCCTTTTCATTGCTGCCTGTATTGTCCACATTTTCTTTCTTTGAAAAGAATTTAATTGTACCTAAAATATCCTCGACTTCGTGTAGGCATCTATCGTATACATATGTATCGCAAGTATAGCACCAAAAGCTATGGTCAATAAATGAGGCTGATATGGGGTGACCTGTTGATTCATAATGTTCACCTGCATGTCCATTAACGTGTCTTGAGCATGATACTGTACCACATCTTAAACATATCCAATTTTCACTTTTATCGTTACAAACATTACATTGTGGCGATGAAACTAAAATTAAATAAAAGAATTGTAAATAATTATGTATTTTTTTATTTTTTTTTTGCATTGACAAAATTTACGGTTTGAATTATCAAAAACTGAAATATTTATACAACTATCAAACTCTTCGACCAAGTGTTTACATGCAATTGGATTGACTGCAAATACCATTATATTAATTATTTACTGTTACTATTTTACTATGGTTATTATTTTTTTATATTGCTATTAAATGTGGTTAAAAATTACAATTTATAATTTTTTTTTTTTTAAAAAAATTTTTATTTTTTTAATTTTTTTTATTTTTATTTTTATTTTAAATTTTTCTGAATATTTTATTTGTTTTTTTAAATAAATGATAGAGGGGAAAAACAAAAAAATTCCATGCTTTACTTAAGCGTGTTACACGCGTCCAAAATAAATAAAAATCACATGTTGATTCATAATGATTTTAATTTGATTTCAATTGTATTATATTTAAATTCCCAATATTTTTTATGAATTGGATCTATGGTTTCTGATAATAATTTACAAATCTAAATAAAAAAAGATTTTTAAAAAAAATGGATTAATAAAAATTCTAAAAATGAAATTGAAATAGTTTCAATATTTATACTTTACATTTAATGAATCTTCCAAAGATTTTTTTGAGTTTTCTTCTTGATAAAAATCTAAAATTATAGAATTGACATGTGAACAACCAATATATTTCGATTTTAATTCTAATAATTGCTTTAAGAGATCTTGATAGTTTAATAAAGATTGTCCTTTAAATAAACCTCTTAAATAACTCCATGGTGATTCATTATTTGGACTAAATTTAATGTAACCAAGAGCAAATTCAACTTCACGGTCAATTAGCTCTTTTGAGAATGGAAGTTGGTTATTACTTAAAAGAACAAAGAAACGATGATTCCAAGCTGAATTATTACGATGATCTAATTTTAATAGTTTGTTGACAAATTCTAACTCCCCTTGCCATTGTTGAAAGGTTTTTAAAAGCCATTGTCTATGTGACCATGCATGATAGTTCTTGGCATCTTCATTTAAAACATCTGATAAAAATAATTTTTCTCCTTCATTTGAGGCTGCTCCAATGTATTTCTCGACAATAAAACGACGATGGTTCCAAATTTGATAATTCTTTGGATCAGTTTCACCCATTTCATTTAATAGTTGCATTTCATCTGCAATATCATATTCAATTGATGTATCATTTTCGATTGATTTCAACACTTCTCTTCTATAATACCAGACTGTATAGTTTGATGGATTGTCTTGAACAATATCCTCTAAAAGTTTTAAGACTCTTAATGATTTTTCCTTTGATTTTAATATTGCTCTAAAATAATTCATTTTATCTTTAACTGTTTTTTAAATATTGTTAATAATTTATAATTATTTTTATATTTAATGGTAAATTGTGTTTTTATGAGAGGGGGGTTATGCATTCCGTTTCATAAGAGTCCAAGTTAATTTTTTAAATAAAAATATAAGTTTTATCAATACCAACATTCATCTGTATACATAATTGGACAAACTGGATGAGGTCCATCATCTTGTGGAATAGGAGTAACATCACTCCATTCTGGTCTTTCTGAATAAGGGGTATATAAATCGGACTCTTCCTCTGATGACATGCTTGAATAAATGATGTTAATTATAATAAAGTAATTTTAAAAATAAAAATGAAAAAAATGAAAATTTTTTTTTAAAAATTAAAAAAT